TTAATATTAATTCACTAAAATAATTAACGTGATTTAATAAAACATAAGAACAAATTTAACAATGTAAGAGGAACATAAGATGTATAGAATGTATAGAATAAAAAAAAAATTATATATAAAAATAAAGATGGAAATTTTTAGAATTATTTTCAAATATTTCACTGTCCATATATAACGAACAAAATAATGATTTCATTAAAATATCTAAAGTCTCTGATATATTTGAAATATTCATTTTCTCATCGTGAAATTAATTAAACATTTCAAGTGGAATTTTAATTAACATACAAATGAATTATATTATAGTTGATCACTTGTACAATTTAAATATACAATAGAAATACAAAAAATATAATTCTTATATATGTATATAATATTTTCTATTTTCCAAATATATTAATTTGTTCATTTTTCATGAATACTTTGTATCTAATCGAGCTGCAGTTGAATCTTCCGAAACGCGCGCTTGCGCCCGAGATGCAAAAATGGTCGAAAATGTGAGAAAGAAAACGTGCAATACACACACGTACACACAGAATTACACGTGCAGTATATACATACATGCGACTCTCGCGATTTTATGTGCGTTGTGTATATATGACTTAATAATTTGCATTATTACAGATTTTCTCTCGATAAAGCGTCGCCTGATTGTGTGCAATAAACGCGCGAGTGTCCCATCAAATGATACGGGAGCTCCCACATTTGTTTTGATATACTTTTGATACACGGCCGCGCGATCGATCCGTTCGTATAGCGTCGCATGCGCAACGAACGATCGCGCTTAACGTACGCCCGGTCCGATCGATGTACCGACCATTTTCCATGTTTCCGTACGATTCTCTCGTGCGACAACGGCGACCCTGGAATTACACGGGCTGTTACCGAAGCGGGAGACCAGCGGGACACGTTCCTAGCGATATTCCCTGAGCTTTGCATTAACACTCCTTGGTACGCATAATTATTCACAAATCAAATCACCGCGCCAAAAATCACATGATATTCGTCGCGACGATTTTAGGAAAATTATACAGTTGAACATGCGATGTAAAAAATGTTCATATACGCGTGCTTTTCCGGAAGACTTTACTTTAAAATAAATAATATTTTATTTTTTATATTCTATTAATATATATATTTTATATTTTATTAATCATTATTTCTTTATTATACATATATTAAATGAGAAAAATTAATTCTTATCAAGATCAACGTTTTATATAAAGACTTTCTTTTATGACTGTATTTAAAAATTTATTTAATCTAATATCATATAAACTATAAAATTAAATCTAAGCTTTACTTAAACACACAGGTATAAAATATATATTATTAAGATCCAATTAAGACAATCTTAATAAAACTGACAAGTTTGGCACAGAAATCCACATGGAGATATGACATTTTACATGTCAATTTATGATGTTTTATTATTAAGGATTTTAATCTGGCTTTAAGCCAAAGATATACTTGGCTTTACAGTCGCTGTATATTGGTGCATTACATTATTGCTTTATTCATATAAGGAATGCGCTATTATTAGTCTTACATAATTCAATTCATTTTGATATCATGTGGTTATTTATATTATTATATAGTATAGATCACATAAATCTCTAGAATTAGTTTATGAATGAAAGAAAATGTCTATTTATAATAAGCGTTTTCACTTTCCGCTTTCTGTTTCGATGGCTTAATATATCTTATATACTAGAGAATGCATTTTGACAATTTGTGCACTAGTATAGTACAAACATATTGCTACGAATTGATTATTATAATAATAAATAAATTGAAGAATGAATGAATGAAACAAACAATTCAATCTATCTTTCAATCTTTGATTTAAAAAATTTTTAGCGAACAAAAATCCCCCGTAGCATGAGTGTAATATGTTAAAAAATATGAAAACATGTTGAAAATATATATCAGAATGTAGAAGCCGCCTATGCCCCGGTATTTCTCGACGTATCGAAAACGTAAGTACATTTCTAGGAGTATTGCAGTAGAACGTGAAGATAGAAGCTCCGTAGAATTGTGTTGTAAGCTTGAAACATCCCGAATTGAATTACTCTCTCGCGCGATGCGTAATTCATGTACAAATGTACATACATAGGTCATAGACTTCGTCAAGATCATGGATGGATCTATAATTATCTCGTCGGCATTCGCCCACGCGCGAAATACATGCAGTCTCTCTTCATTCAATTATTAATTGACGAGGCTATTTTTAGACCGTCTAATACCAAACATTGTGATAGGAGCGGTTCCTGATTTAAATTAATTCTCTTCTTATTGACGGAATGGTCAACGGACTTCTCGTTAAAATACGCGATGCTATATATAAATTCACAGAATCTATTTTTTCACATTTTTCGAATACTAACAAATTATCTATGAATCTCCACCCACGAGACCAAAACACGCTCGTAAAAAATGTTAAATCAATTTTAATGTGTCCCAAGTCAATGCGATTATGAATATATTTAAAATAAGAATATTTAAATTATAATAATATAGCGTTTAAAAAATATGATGTATAAAAGATGTAGATCGAATTTTTTATTGCTAATACGATTACTATGTATATTAAAAGATTTTTGTATATTTATGAAAATTATACTCGATTAGAACATAATAAGTTTGATGATAAATTTCAAATAAACTTGCTACTTGAAAATGTTGTGAATAATTTGTCGGTTTTAGCAACATTTTTAAACGCGTAACAAATAAAAAAAAAGAAACTTTTCGACGTCATCGACGCGATAATATTCTCTACATTTATTTCGGAATTGATTAATTTCGATAAAGTCCATCGTATATTAACAGAGATTTTGTCTCTTGGACTATAGGCACGCAACAAACCGGCGGATGGCGTGGGTCATGTAAACCAAAAAGGTGCTTCCGGTCAGAAGGCACCGGCGGCTGGTCAAAAGGTCGCCCCAGGCGCTAAGGGTGCAGCGAAGGGTGGTTCGGCTCAGAAGCCGTCAGCTCAGAAGGGCCAAGTGAAAGTGACACCTAAAGCTGCTTCCGTCAAGACCGGCAAGAACAAGAAGAAGGGACAGCGACAACAGTACGATCTCATCGTTACCATTAATCTGGTAAGAGAAACTATTTATTTGCAATCATTTTTGAGTATTCAAAGTCTCTTCTTCGCTGAAAAAAATTGTTAACTTGACCAAATCGTTCAATTAAGTAATATTTGGTTAATGAAACATATATATATGATCGTCTGCAGAGGGGGAGGCAAGAGGGGGCATTTGCCTTGGAATCAATAAAAAATTAATTGAAAATTTGTTTGCATATTTAATATATAAAAATGAAAATAATAAAATAATTTTTTTTTTAATTAAGAAAAAACAAAAAAGAAACATAATTTTTATCATGCCCCCTTTGGAAAAAATCCTGCGGATGCCCTGAACATATACAAATATTTAAATTAAATATAACATATTTAATCTACATATCTAACAAAACCTGTATTTGACTTAAATACTATGTTCAATTAATAAGATAGTAATTTAGATGAACGGTTTAGTCAATTAATTTTTTTCATTGTATAAAATGCGCTCTATCCACGTTTTCGCGCGAATTTCTTGTAATGTTTAGAATTCTTAGTTCTTATCAATGTATTATAAAGATGCATAAAGTTTAATAATTATTTTTTTAATCGATTTGGTTTCTCGCTTTGAGTAAAACATTAATTTTTTTTAAATTATAATTTATTGTAAACAAAAATTTTGTCTAATTATATACGATTATAAATATTCGAAACCTTCTTTTCTGCTTAAATTCAGTATACTCTTTTGTTAGGAAATTTTAATCTATGGTTTGATTACCAATATCCTGTTGCCAATTATTTCACATCTGACAAATGACTTTCCTTGAGATTTTTCTCTGAAAATTCTTTCCGAGGTCGGAGGTTTTATTATTAAAATAAGATCAAGGATATTCCCAGATCTCTCTTTCGTCGATGTTAGACTCAACCTAAATAGAAAAATTATCAAGTGCGAGAGAAAGAAAGACAGACTATCTAATTTCAATCGGTTTTCTATATTTTAAGGTTATTCACACGGTTTTCATTGACGATTTGCATGAGAAGGCCCAATTATTTCTGTTCTTGAAAGCGGACTTAATTATCGATCGACTCGCGATACAAATCGTCTTTGTCAAGTTAGCGTGCTTTTCGCGTAATGCGTGTACATTGGTAATAAATATGATCTGACCCAGTTGAAGGTGCGATCGATAAGTTCCTCTTATTCGGCTTAATGTATGCCGCGTAACGTCAAGATACGCTGGAAAAAACATAAACATTCCGTCATCTAATTGGATCGACATGATTAGTGCTGGTTTTTCGTTCATATTGCTCTCTATTTCGGGATTACGTCTCTGACGTGAAATTCTTGGCAGCCTCGTATGTGTCTGGCATTTAATGTTCATTCACGAAATGTCATAAATGTATATATATTTTTCTAGTCAATATATACAATAATTTTATTTTTGCCGACGAAATTTAAAAAATGTTCAAATAATATTATCAGTTAATTTTTAATTAATTTTAATTGATTTTTTCTTTACTTTTTGTTGATATTGTTACACATTTTGTTTGATGTCAAATTGATTTATATATAATTGTTTGAATATGTATCTCTATATATTATATAATAATAATATATTTTATACATATATATATGTATATATATAAAATAAATGCTAAGAATATAAATATGAATTTCAAAGTACAAAGAAAATTGTAAAAATCAAAATATTCGATATAATTAAAAGTAGGTATATTTTGATCGAGGATTAATATAGAACGTGGGCGTTTTTCGGAAGTTCTCTATCATCGCCAAAGCACACGCGAACATAACGCGCGCAAAGTATCTGTTTATGATCGAGAGCGATGGAAGGGAATGGTCACCTGGCGTCCGATAGTCCGTAGAGGGGACCTGGTAGTTAAAAACAGACTAAGGTTGCCAAAGTCTCGAACATATACGAGACTTTGTCATCGAGGAGACGTCTTTTGCGTTCGACGCGCGATACCGAGAGTGTCCGGAAGCTGCGACAACGAAACGTTTTCGTCAGTTTCCTGAAGAGTAACGGGTGCGACCCGAGGAAGAGGTCGAAAGTGCCGCTTTTTCCAAGCACTTCGTCAGGGTCGAAGATCATAAACTCTCCACGTGGAGCGTGAAGAACATACTTCTTCCTATACGTCGGCTATTTTTACTCATTCGCGGGCGATATTGCATTCTTGAATAGTGTTTATCCGTGTGATTGATCCGACGTCCTCGACGCTTTTCATTTTACCGCGCGAGGAAACGACGATCTTGAAACCATCTTGGTCCACTCGAGAATATCATCTTCGATCTTACCCGTCCGAGTAAACAAAAAGTAATCGCGAGATCGGTGAGACACTCTCTCACAGCATCTTTCGTAATCCTCTTTTTCCTTATTCGATACCAGCGATGACCTTGAGGGTGCTCATAGTCGATAAATATTAGTTCGAGCAAGTTTCCAACGAATATATGTCGATTTTCTTCTCGAGAAGGAGGAAGGAAGGAAGGAAGAGAGAGAGTGCGATTTTTTCCCCCTTTTTCCGGATCGACGGAATGAGAGCGAGATGTCGGCCGTCTCGACGGCGACGCGACGATAACCGCGACGAGACACGGCGACTCGAGATCTCAAGTTAATAAACATATACAATCTGGCCATAAATCTCGTCCTCGAACACCGTTCTCCTTCCGGCATATACGTGTCGCCCGATGTGACAACAATAAAGATCATGGAAATGGAAAAGAGATACACGCACGCCTACGGCCAGCTGCGCAGGCTGACCAGCACGATAGATTGTCAAACTAGGCAATTGAGCGTAAGTGAGAGAAAAACAATGCAAATTTTAATTTATTGTACACTGAACAGAATATTTCTGTAAAATTACAGAATTATGCAGACTTTTTTTCCACCCGAGTATAATCGTGCAATATTGTTACTCATGTGGAAGATAACAGATTATATATGTAATTTTATATGAAATATATTTTTATATATTTTCAAGATAAAAATATTCCACTGAACATGAACTTGAATTACACATAGGAATAAATGCTTATAAAATAAAGTTCTAATAAAGTAATACTAAATTTAAAATTACAAGTGATTTTTGCATAAAAATAGTAATTTTACACATTATTTTACATTAATATTTTCATTTCAAAAAATATAGAAGAAAATTACAGTGACAATTAAATAATTTTTCCAGTTATGAACAAGTAACTTTCATGTAAAAGTACATGGATTTTTTTCAGTGCGTATAGCAAAAAAATCAACAGATTTAAATGTGCGCGAAAAGAAGGATCTCGATTGGCAGAGATCTGGCAAGAGGCCACCTCGAGAGATGGGATAGAATGCGTTTTGTCGCGGGAAGACGACTCGCTATCTCGCGTTGCGACATGTTATTATTAATAATTCATTACACACGACCTCCCGTCGCGTGCGCATCGAACACATTTCGGGCGTTTTGCCAAAGCTTCCTTCTCTGTATATCTCGTACTAGAGAGAGAGAGAACAGATCTTAGAAAATCATAGTTATAGAGCAAGGTCGTTTGCCCACGAGGGACGGGCTCTCTAGACGCCACTTTAATCTTTACTGTTATATTCTGTAAAAATGCAAACGCAACTTATACGTAGAGCAGATGCAATTGCATTATGTGTCGTATCACGAAATGAGTATAGAGCTGTTTGTCTTTTTCTCTGTTTCAGTCCGAGTATGGACTCACCGAAGATCAAGTAGCAGGTGAGTTGACACGCGATTGTATAGATATTTCATTAACCGTAATTAGATTTTAAGAATTAATGCGTTTTGCACGTCACCGACAATGAGATCACGACATGTCCGTATTTTTGCTTTTTGATTTTCAATCTTCTTTGATAAATCTCCTCGTTTATTCATTTTTCCATTTAAATTTTTACTTTATTTCCTTCAATTTTCATAATTCAATATCTGACTTTTCGGACTGTTCTCGTCACTTTTTATAATGGCTGGAGACTTACTGAAGATGTAAAGACGATGATGAGAATCAAGACGTATAAATTTTTAAAATAATTTTTTTGTCAATTGGTATTGCTGAAGATGGTCCAAAGGAAATCGAACCGTACTTCAATTAAAGAAGATTTTAAAATAAGCTGACTTGGCTCTTATTATTTGCTACTTGAATTTCTGTATTATATATAGATATCAGAGCCTTTGTTTATTTTTTACAATAAAATTAATTATAATAAGTAATAATTAATTCATAAGTAACATTAATTTAATTTTAAGATTGTCAATTTTTTAGAATTTTTAGTTAATAAAATACTTTATAGTAATAACGATTGATTTGAAATTAATTATTATAAAAATTATTACATCTATATTTATCTATACCTACATTATATCATTAATTTTTAAATGAAAAATAATATTTTTAATGTAATTATTACATGTAAACATCTCATAAAGATAGATAATCATTATGGATTGGGATATAAATGTCTGCCAATTGGCAGCCGTTTTTCCTATTTGCCTACTATATTAATACCGAGTCAGTGACATTAAAAGTGTCAAAACAATTTTGAAGATGGAATAATAATAAACCCGAGAATCTAGAGATAGAGAGAAAGAGCCAATGATGTTTTATTGGAAAATGATCGAAACGAATAAACTCATGGAACATGAATACTTGATGCATGACTCATACATATCATAATAATGATATTATCATGACACGCGATGGTATTGATTATATTAAGCTCGCGATTTAACTTTCTGCAAATATTTACATTTTTTCTAGTTAATCTCACCTGCGTAGTAATGTATTGAATAAAAACAAGATAGAAAAATATACGTCAAATTTTCTCGCGAATCGAAATCCATTTTCGTAATTATACACGAATATATTTTTAATTCCTTTTATTTATTTTTTTATTTAATCATAAAATAATAATTAAAGGAGAACAAAAAAGAACTTTTTATATATTACATATTTAATTTTTAATTTAATTTAATTTAATTATTACCGTCTACAAGAATGCATGTGCAAAATGAATAATAGCGATTTGGAATTTCGAAATTAATTCAAAATTAGAGAGAATACACGTGATCAATAGAAATAAAGCACGTTTTCGAGATATATCGAGAGCTGCAATTAAACAATTATTTCGAGCATAATAATAAGGCGTATGCAAATTTTCTTCAAACGCAACCAACAATGATCATTTGTCTGGAGTATAGTAACGAGATATCGGCGCGCGATAACAGCAAAGTTCTATTATTTCAGAATTCAAAGAGGCATTCATGCTCTTCGACAAAGATGAGGACGGTACGATTACGATGGCGGAATTAGGGGTTGTCATGCGATCTCTCGGTCAAAGACCGTCGGGTAAGTCACCAGCGAATGTTCGAAATGCATCCCGAATGCGCTTTGGAAATTTCCGGATGTAAAGCGTACGCTCTTGTGTTTCCAGAGACGGAATTACGCGACATGGTGAACGAGGTCGATCAAGATGGAAACGGTACCATTGAATTTAACGAATTCCTGCAAATGATGTCGAAGAAGATGAAAGGTGCCGATGGGGAGGACGAACTTCGCGAAGCGTTCCGGTAATAAACTTTCTCGCTCTCCCTCTTAATTACCATTACGAATAATTGCATTGAAAGAACGTCGTCTCGGGATAATTACTCTTGAGATATAGATGAGTGTAAACTTTTGACACAACTTTGTAAGTTCCTTTTTTTTTCTCTATTTCAGAGTGTTCGATAAGAACAACGACGGCTTAATCTCCTCCAAGGAACTGCGACACGTAATGACGAATCTCGGGGAGAAGCTGTCCGAGGAGGAAGTCGACGACATGATTAAGGAGGCGGATCTGGACGGTGACGGAATGGTCAATTACGAAGGTAACTTTACTTTACGTATAATGTAATATTTGGACTTTGTTTTCTCTGTGCGATATCCGGAGTACATTAATCTTCTCGTTTACGGTGAAGACTTGAATTTTCCGTAATACATGAAAGGAATATGTAATTTTCGGAGAGTGCGAGTACATGAATCTAAGATACCTTGCATTAGAGTACACACTCTCTCTTTAATTATTCCTTTTCTCCGCGTCATGCAGTAGAATAGATTCTGCATAGAGCTGGTAAAATTAATGCAAAGCAATTACTTACTCGCTCCGTTTATGATCTCAACCAAGCATCCACAGAGGGGGAGCAAAAAGGGGCCGTTTGCCTTCTCTTGGAATCAGTAAAAAACTTAAGCATTTGCTCTTCTTTCGAAATAAACATTGGAATTTATTTGCATATTTAATATAAAAAATAGAAATAACAAAAAATTTAGAAAGAAAAAATAGAAATGAATTTAATTATGTCCCCTCCTGGAAAAAATCCACGATCTCAACATCGTGTCTATCAATCGCAAACATATATATGGCATACAAACATATGTTTTAGAATTCGTGACGATTCTAACGTCGAAAAATTAGTTCGGAGATCGAAGGAGGGTAGACTCGCACAGAGATACCAAAAGTACCAGAGGATCTCCAACGGAAGAGGGATAAACGGATCCGCCGCCCAAGTTCCTCGACTTCCCGGGATCGTGACGAGAGGTCGTTTCACGCTCCGTAAAGCTGCGAAAAAAATCTGAGATGCCGGGAGGAGAGAAAAGAAGTCAAGAACTCGATCCTGCCGATCGAGCGTCAACCGCGATGTGCGACGCCGTGTAATCGCGGAAGATGAGGAGAGAATTTCGAGAGAGAAAGCGCACCGTTTTTATGATATATATATGTATATATATATATATATATATATATATATCAGCTTTGAGGGATAAGAGTGCGTCGATAGTTTCGAACGTAAGTAGCGCAAATGGGAAAACTTAAAAGTCTTTGGATCATACTCGGGAGATACTACGCGCGTAAATTATTATATCGCGAATATTATATATCGCCTTTGGCTTTGGCCGGAAAATCAAGAAGGAGAGAGACTTACTTCCGCGAATTGCACACATACGCATTATCTAAACACACACGGACACACCTCGCGCTCTTTCGGACTAATCTAGGCGGAATACTTGAACTGTAGGCACATAATACACACGTATTAGTACATGGTTAATAAAGGAATTATGTCAAAATGAGAAAACGAGGGGGAAGAGGGAAGGGAAGGGGGAGAGGGGCGACCTGCCGCCACCCGGAACAATCAACCGAGCTTCGTCTAGACTTTTACGTACCCCTAATCTTTATCTCCCATTTTACGAAGCGATTTTAGGAATTAACTAGCTTTCCACGCCCCCTTGAACGCTCTCGCGAGAAAGTCCCGGAGTATACTTAGTACATATACACGATATGTTTACATAGTACATATATATTATACATATTATTATTATACAATATCCGTTTTGCGTTGCGCGTTTCCTTGAAACGCGACGCTCATGAAAGATACTTCGTACTTCGAGTGTTTTTACCGCTTATATTACACGCAGACGTGCGTAATCCAAAGTGTAGTGATACACACATACACACACATGTCGCTCTCTCATTTAATCATCGTTTCTTCTATGCTTAGTGATTTTAGAGCGGGTACGTCGACAACATGCCGAATAATTAACTCTTCCCGCTTTGACACGTAGCGTGAATATGTTCCCGATTATCGTGATGCCGCGCGAATCTTTCTGTAATCGGTGACGAGTGCCCTGGTTGATAAGGTGCTTCGGAAGTTGAGCCAACTGTATTTAAACAAATTATTCATTCACGATAATCTCGTGAAGAAATATCATTCACTATCTGTGCACAAGGTTCGAGAAAGTGTCCGAAAGTGTCCTTGATTATTGAGATGAGTTCTTGCAAGGAGAATAATTTAACGAATCATCCAGATTTATCTGTAGATCTATCAGGTGATATACTAAATCGAATTAATATCGCGACAAGTCTGACAATTGCCAGTTACATCCTCAGTGACTACAGTTGTCATGATTATTGACAGGCATCTATAGTCAAGGAGGATAAGGTTTTTGATATATAAAGAGAGAAAGAAACTCTAACGGGAACAATTCAACCAGGGTGATTAACGCGAGCGTTCGTTTCTTCACTTTGTATTCATGGGGGTTTTGTCGGATAAAGAGGAGGATTATGCACAATGCGAAAGAACGAAAGTGACGATGTGGCAACGAAAACGTGTTTCCGCTGTCGCACAATCACTAACATCGGCGGCCCCGATCCAGAAGCGTGTATACATGCAGTATGTACCCTTACATAAAGTATAGAGAGAGAAGGAGAAACGTGTTGTAAGGAAAAAACCATCACGAATCCTGCGCACACACACACACGCGACATATAGACGGTAGACTTAGCGACTATAGTGACAGATGTAAAAGAAGAAGCGACCGCACGAGAGTAAACGGCGGAGTTGTACACGTGTGGATTAATGTATACATATTACTATACGTGATGATGTGTTGCTATACCACGAGAAAAAAACACGTGGAGAGAATACGTTGTAGGTACACAATTATATATACATATTCCTATAATATACACGTATATTTAATACATTGTACATAAGTCCTCTCTCCGTCACCCGCGCTCCATAACACATACACACGCACTCAAGCATTCAAGCACGCACGCATGCACGCGCGCGTAAGTTCCCGGCACGAAGCGGAAATTAAAAAGACACGTGGATTGGGATAGCGTGAGAGTCGCGAGGATTTGACGGGGAGAGACCGAAGTAACGAGAATATAAATATTAATAACGCGCCAGAGCGCATCTTCTGCGTACTATCAATCGGAGTAATTCTGTTTTGTTTCTCGTACGCGTTATCACTATATCAGTATATCTATTACAGTGTTACATGTATGAATCTTTTACTGCTCGTTCGTAAATGATTTTTTTGCAATCTTGTGCACATATTGATCATAATTTGTGACAACATTTATATAACATTAGGTTTTAAATAGGAAAAATGTATGTCATATACATATATATTTAAACTAATAAGGTAAATTGTAGTAGGATTTTTACATTTGTTATTTTTACAATTTAACTGCAATGTTATACAATTCATTTAAATCGCTTTCTTATAAGAATAGAGATGAAAAATATTAGCAAAATATGACGATGAAAATTTATGCTAAAAAATTTTATAGGAGAAAAATATTACAATAATTGTCTTAAATTTTTACTTATATTCAAATATCATTAAATAATACCGTGTCATATATAACATAATGAAACGTACATTATATATAACACATACTCAACGAGAATATATAATGACGTTTCTTAAGTTTGAGTATAAAAGATTCACGAAATATTTCTCATTTTATTTCATCGCGACTTTCTCGAACATTACTCTACATGGCTCGTAATTTTATTTTTAATTTACATTGTAATTTTTTTGAACAATTTATATTTGAATATCGTATCGTAAAGTTGTTGGAAAACCATTTGACTCCTGATTGACTGTACGTTTATGCGCTATGAAAGATGATATGAAAAGGAGAAAAAGATCTTTTTCGTAAGATATTGGATGAAATCGCGCGTGTTTCGAGATCCGAGCAATTCGATCATTTTTCTTTTCAAGTATAAGCGAAACGCGAGAGACAGTCGAGGCTTCAGAAACGCTCGTCGGACAAAATGGTAATTTGCAAGTGCATAGAGATTAGACAATAAATTCTGTTGCTCTCTATAATCTGATTGATCGACAATTGATGTTTGTGGACGACGAGCTTAGCAAATTACTGAATCTGGACTTCATCTCGGAATAGGATGGTACAATAACGATGAGAGTTCAGAGTCGTCGAGAGAAGAATGTCCTGGGACCTTGATTTGAGGTTCGCCAAATAATTACTTGTACATAAGACGCGTAAAGCACGATCAACGCATCGCACATTACTTTCGCAGGCGAAAGCTGTGATCTTTGATAGAGCGATTGATTTTTCGAATAAAACCAGAGTGGACAGTCTTACTGCGAAAATAATCCAAGTCAAATTTTGAAGTATCGATCCATTTAGGTAAGAGATATACATAAGTTCGATGAAAATAACGAATCGACATAATGTACCTGTCTTAAACATTTCTTTAGAATTTGACTTACATTATTTTCAGCTCATGTCGCACCTCCGATAGAATACTGCCATTGATAAAGACGCTCATTTTCAGCGCTTTATAATACGTTAACTTCATTTGCAAGAGAAGTTTCAGTAAACTATATAGAGGATAAAGTAATAACTTTAATAAAAGAAGATATTACTTTGATAATTCCTAACAGCTCTACATATTTTCCATCAGTTCGAAGAAATATATGACACCGCTTCCGGAAAGCTTGAACCATTTGATTTTTTTATATGGCAGTCTTCTCCCAATGGTGCATTACGGTTCACCAACTCACCAACTACACTAAAGGAGAAACGCAGTACCTATGTAACCGATGTCGAAAATTCGTTCACGACCTCAGACGCAATAAAGTACACCGAATAAAGCGCACTATAAACATGCATCACGGAGGCGCTTCAAAAAACACGCATACACACAAGCGAAGAGATAGTCGTGTTTTTGACAATAATATATTTTTTTAACGCTTATATTCTCTCAGAGCGAGATGTCCCACCCCGCGCGGTGTCTTTCTTTCCCCTTAACGAATAAGCACCGTTCCACGATGATGCTATATGTTAATTATGCTTTTTCTCAACTTACCGAGATGATCGATTTTACTCGTTCGGCGTTCGTATAATAACGTTCCTCTCGTGCTCTCGATCAACACGATATACGAGCGACTCGAAACACCGCGACCTGGATAAATTAAGCGAAGCGCGAGCGAATCAGAGCACGGTGAACGGCGATAGATAAGGGAGAGAAAGCTAAGCGGCTTGATAAATACGTCACAAATAGCAATGTATAACGTCCTAACGACAATATTTCTAATGGTTTAACTGACAATGAGAGAATTCACCGAAGAAGAGCAGATGAATATATATACGCTGGTCCGCCCCTTCCAAAAAGAGTTACATTATATTAAGTATATCACGAAAGAATGATATGTATATCTATATAATCTCTCCGACAATGATAAGGTGCCGCACGTCGACGGCACGTATCGCTAATCTGTTATGGTCGCACTTAGATTTAGTACTGTTTGTTCTGCATCTCTCCCTTTTAAACAAGGTTACTGCTAATAGTTCTTATTTGTGAATCTAATGGTATCCGTGATGGTTGACGCAAGAAACGATTAAGTTGATGCGAAATAACAATAAGTATAAAGAATATAATTATTTTGGATATTAAAGATAAGTTTAGAATTCAATAATCTTTAAAAAAAGAAACTGTTCTTTTATATAAAGGAAAGAAAAGTTCTCCACTTCTCTTTAAAAATGAAAATTAATCAAACTGATAGATTGAAGTTATTCTTGAAGAAATTTGTTTAAGAAAAATTCCATATTTTATCGAAGACAATCGTAGAGATATCTGAAAATTTAAATTTAAACTTACGCTAAACTTTTGTATTTATCTAATTTTTCTTTCTTTGTAATATCGAAACTGTGTAACGCACGCAGATGGAAGTACAAAAGAACAGTTAAGCATGCAGTGAGTTTCTATACCATATGCATAATGATAAGAAGAATGGATCGTTCGATGACATGATAGCACGTTATCACGAGAATCGTGTCCATACGCTCAAAATGCAGCGTATGGCTTTTTAGACCTTAATTAATATTAAACGCACTTTATGTTAAGGTGATAAGGACTCTAACTCTTTCAGGGATAAAAAAAGTCGGTGAATATTTAGCATATTGGCAAGAAAGAGAGACACAGTTGTTGCGTTGTTGTGTTGTTATCACTTTACGAATATAAAAACTGATGATAATCCTTTATATTGTCAGTTACATAATGCCAATTGTTATTATTACGTGGGATATAAACTACTCTTCTATCACACACATCTCTCTAAGAGTTAGCGGTTCAAGCTCTTCGCTCGGAAACAAAGAGGGAAGAATTCTCTCTCTATCTTTCCCGTCCCGTTCCCCTTTTGCGATTACATTAATTCTGTTCAACGCGAGAATTGACTTCTCGGCGGAAAATTCGAGAGATATTTATTATTATATTGTCACTTTTGCTCCACAAAAGCAGATATTTTTATAGATTACTCCTTGCGCCAAATCCTGCTGTGCAGCGTAATACGAATCATACGGCATTGCGTGTTGCAATGCGTTGCATTGAACTGCATTGTATTACATTTTGTATAGGATGTATCGAAAGTTGCGCACTTTTTCTTTTACTAAAGATCGAACTAAAGAGATAATCATGAGTTTTCAAAAGAATCAAAAAAACGAGATATATATAGGAGGAAAAATGATAAAATTATTTTTCTTTAATCAATTTTAATTTTTGTACGGACTTGGATAGAATTTTAATGTAAAATCTAAGTATATTTTTTATCAACAAATATTTAATATCAATTATAAGATTGCGATACCTGAGTGAGCGAGTCTCCGACGACAAATAACATACTTGAGATTTATCGCGAAAAGTGTAAGACGCTTGGGACACATCCTATATATGTTACATTGTATTATACTATTATACACATGCATAATACAAGTTGCATATATATTCTATCAAATTGTTTTGCGAGCTGGAAGCTCGGATGCGACATACGATTGTTCGCAGGCCTGCCGTTAATAAAAGTATCGCCTACGTACAGGATGTCTTGGAAATGGAATTTTAAAACGCATTTTTGCAAGAGACAGAAAGACGCGGAATCGATCGTGGAGAATGCGTATTTTCGTTATATCCCTTAGGACACCCTGTACGTTTTAGTGTTGCCCTCCAAAAATATAAAGATACGTGAGTCTTCCTTCTCTGACGTATACTTAATCGAGAACTCTTCTCCGTTATATTCTACTCGCTTTTATCGTCGATCGCTGTTTGCGAGCCAGACATCGAGCAAGAGAACCGACAAAGCCGATGCAGCTGTAGATGACGATTGTAGGAATCGTAGAAATCTCGAGATTTCTTTATTATAACGTTACTCTCGATCACCAAAGTTATTGACGTATTTCGCTTCGTCCGACGCGATGTTTGGATGAAATTTCACGTCTCATCTCGGCGATATCGACTAGCGGCATCGACTAGCAGAGCGAATCAATTCATTGGCTCTACTTGTTATTTTTGTTATTGTACAACATGGGGCTAGCTTAAGGGACAAAGACATTTTCGCGAAAGAAATTATTCAACTTTCTTCGTTGAAAATTGAAATATCTTATATAACTCATGTTAAAACACTTATAAAACATTCATAAAATTATTTCAATAAATCTATTTAAAAAAATTATTAAAAATTATAGATTATATATATTTATATTTATTCGTTGTTATTGTGTGTGAGAAAGAGAGAGAGAACTAGAGAATATTTATATATATATTACAATATAGAAAAGACGAATATATAAAAATACTAAATAATTTAAAAACGTTATATATATATATATTCCCTTAAGCTTGATCCTACTTGAAAACTTGATAAATGTTTCCTGATCAATTTATATAATATAACATTGCGCACTTTGCAAATTTATTTCCATCTCTTTACGAACATGTATGCTCATGAAGCAGCACTGTTATTTTCCGATCTGTTAAAACAAGATCGTATGTATTTGATTTATTCATTTTTATAGTGTTTTGCGAGCCTTCGGAATTTGTTCTGATTTCTAATCGATATTTCAAACGCAATCTATATAAAAAAAAAAAAAAATAAAAAACGAGCGACTTCGAAGCGCTTAGAATCGCTTTGAGGATGTTCAAAGTTCTAAGCCTAAGCATAGCAAGCAGGCACAAGGGTGTATTTTATCAGCTAGCTTATAATATCAATTACACGTTAAAGTATCGCAAACACGTAATAATCAAATTATATATATACATACATTGATAGATACATGAAAAAGAGAGAACCTGATTATATATCTTAGACGTACGAGTATAAATTAAACGATAACTGTTAAGTAAGTGTAACTAAGTTGTAACAATTGCGAGGGCTGTCGCTTTTGAGCGGCACGATCTTCCGTTCATTAAGGATTATGCGATTTTTGTCGTACTATAATCGGTCCGACACCGCTTTCTTACGATTTATAGAAGGTGTGATTGTGTAGGCAAATTGTGGGAGATTGTATGTTTGGCATGCAACATTTTTAAACGCTACATCCTCGTAGGTGTCGTTTGAGAAGTTGCGTCATATTTTCCTCTGCTTGCGCGTCGATTATTATTATTATTTTCCGAGCATAGATTTTCTTTTTCACACTTTCACCTTCGTGAATCGTGAAATACGCATTTTTCATTATATATTTCAATTTCAGATTATATAACTTTTGAAAGAGAGAGACGAGCTACGCGCGATTCTTTACAATTATATGTATTTGTATCACATTGTCTTTTTTTCCTTTACTCGCATAGCGAAACCTCTTTTGATTCGCGCCTAAAAAAACGCCATGCGAAATAAAGTTAAATTAAATAGGGAATCACGAGCAGGCAATAATCGTGTTGTACCACAAAACCTGCGGCCAGGAAATACGACGATGTTCAAACTCTCTAGATGTAATAAGAAACAGTCTTTCATTAACTCTGTTAAACGTTATGGCAAGTACAAGCCGTGTTATTGGAGGAGAATGTGTACGTGTATTTATATATTCAATCTAGCTAACAGTGAGAAAAAAAAACGTCTCGAAATCGAATCTCGGTAGAGACGTTGCATTTCTCGCAACTCCAATGGAAAAAAAATCTCAACTGCTTGTCTTTTGCAAAATTATATATATATATACATATAATTACTTAATTAATAATTAATTATTTAAGTAATATATAATTTGTATAATTGATTAAATTGTCTCAAATGATATTTCTGATAAAAAGGAAAATTGGAAAATCTTGAAATCGTTCGTCGCAGTATTATTTTAGCTTTCTTTTTCCTGTAAAATCGATTTATTGGTGTTCTCCTGCTAAAGATAATTCTACAAGTAATTCAGCAGTTGCGTTTTTTCTCCACTGGAAATAATTATGTTCAGAGAGAAACAAGAAGGGGCAGCAAATTAAGAATACATGTCAAGGTGTGTTATATGTTTAGAGATTATAATCGGTATGTGTATTTAAGAGAAGAATAAAGGGTGAAGAGAGAAAAAAAGGTACAATAAAAGAATATATTAACACGAGGGAGCTAATATCGTGCTGTGAACGAAATAGGTATATTTTCAGAAAAATACAATCGAAGAAAGGCTAACGAGATAACGTTGTTGTAATGACTAATTATCGCAACGAGGAAGTCCATAACGTTATTTTTCTAGAGTCTATCTAAATATCTAAATATCATATAGTTTTTTGCGTTGTATATGGCGAAACGTATTTCTCAAGCGACAAACAGGCCTAAACGCGACCTTTTTACGACGATAGATAATTAATGCGTGTATGAGCATATTTGGCAATGGAATGCATACGCAAATTGTTCATTTCGTGTACATAATGCATACACGAAATAGGTACTGTGTGTCGCGTATTATTAAAGTTATTATATCGCGCGAATTATACGACATGTTTTCCACAGATCGCGAGTGATTTTTTCCAAACAATTCATATTGGAACTTCGCGTTCTCGCAAATCTTCGAAGCGTTTGCACTTAACATTTAAGCAGTTGCACATTTTCAGTACAATTATAGTTTTCTTTTTGTACAATTAATGATTTTTATCGAATTTATTTTTTATTCGGAATTTTCTTTCGATTTAATTGTGCCACGTTATGTCTATACCATGACCATCCGTCCTTTATTATTTTAAAGGACAATCCTTTATTTTAAGAAGCTGTCCTACTTATATTTATAATTTTGTTCTTTATTTTTTATTTAGTTTTAATATTTAGTGTTGTAGTATTAACATTAGAATTTGTACAAAAACAACGGAACCTATTTAAGGAACCAAGGATTTTGGTTTCAACATATAATTAAATCAGTTTGAAACTGATATACATAGACTTTTGATAGTCACCGAATTTTTTTGTCATCGATCTCCGCTTTGATCGTAAACTGATTTAGAAACATGTTTAACAAAGTTTTAAAATTTTCAAGTTTATCCTTTATTTTCTCCCAGAAAATATGATCACCGTACGTATATGTACTTCTATCGCGATATGATTAATAAATAGGATAAACTAAATTTGTTGCGACTGTTTAAATGTTAATGTGTGTATTTCTGCACGGTATACATATATAAGCATGTATCCGCGCATGAGACGACTCGTTAACGTTTAATCGCCATTTCGCATTTATATTATTAAGGAGTTTGTTAATTATTGATGAAAAATGAAGGGCTGTCTCCGTAGAGATTACCGATTCGGTGTATTAAAAAGATAGAATGAGAAAATAATATTTATTACTATACACAATAATAGATATTATAATTTTGGGAGATGTACAGTTGAAAATAATACATACATATGATGATGATTTTTAAATACCGTATAACTGTTTTAATCATTTTTTTTTGCAATAATTTAATGAATTGTTGAGGAAATTTATTCGAAAAAAATATTTTATAATGATAAATTAATGGCGAATAATACACACATAAAATATATATCTTATGCAAATGCACTCGATGATTTTTAAAACTTGAAATTTATTTCAAAATGATCAAAATTTAATAAAAAAAATATTGTAGTAAAGTAAAATAGTTAAGCGATGAAGACTGGCTGTCGGAGCTCATTCAAAAATACGAATTATGAGTATAATCAAAGAAATAATAATGTTATAGGAGGTGAAATGTACACACAAGAAAGAATATACGAAGATAGGGATATTTTAATACGATTAAAATCGAGAGATTCTGAGAAACACAAAATTGTTCTAAATAAGTAGAATAGTGCGAACAAATTCGTTTTATCATTTTCATTCAACGAACGTGAACAAAAGTGTTCAATTATTTTTTTAAATATGTTTTTTAAACTATGAGATCATGATTTTGCAAATGGATACTCCGTACTCGCGTTTCATCTTAAAGTCAGAAGAAAAAGTTAGAAAGGACAGGGATTCAGAAAAGAGTACCGTATGTCTGTTTGTATGTATGTGTGTGTGTGTTATGTGATGTTAAACGTACGCGACCATGTTACGTGTAACGTTATATACTATAATATTAAAACACGACATATATAAAAAGTGGTGAACACTGTGTACTGGTGAAATGCAATATATGTATCGAGTTACCCCTATAAATACAGCCATTTTATAATAGACACTCGTTCTCGTAATTTTTCTTGGATCTTTCGCAATCCTTGATGTTATTAATTCTTAGTTTTTCTATTTATCATTATATTTTATAATAGGAATATTCCTCTTGTTTTTTTGCTAGTTTTCTCTAAGTAATCCTCTTTGAAGTTCTTTCTCTAATTCAATATGAATAATATTCAAACAAATATTTTTTGATTGATAGAATCATCTTGTGCTCTTTGGAATGAGACTATGAGACATATATATGTATATGTGCTATAAAAATTCCTATTTTAGGATCAATTCTTCTCCGTAGAGTTCTCATCTTTCGTTGCTCTCATTATATGTTTGCCACGTGATCATATATTTAGAATAAGAAAGCGATTGCAAAACTAATCATTTTTATGTAAAATGGAAGTCTCTTAAAACAAGAAAATATAAAAATGATTCTTACTATTAATATTATATATGTATATAGATTATCCTAGAAAGTCTTGATTAGGAAAATTATCTACTTGACAAAAAACATTTGATTCAACGACATATCAAAAATGTTTAATGTTTATTAAGTTTTCACTTTCCATGATGTTCATGTTTACGGAATGCAATGCTGTTACTATAATTTTAATGTATTTCAATAAACTGATTGATAAAGAAATTCTTAATTTTGAGTAAATAATGAATAAGAAGCATATTTATTATTGATATAATACCATTCTATTTTTAATAATAATTTACAATTTGTTTATAAACAAATATTTTACTTGCGATTATGTTATATTTTCATTTAAAAACATCATTTCTAACAATATTTTCAACTTTTATGCTAATATTACTAATCATTAATTACATAATTTGTTTTTGAACAATTTTAATTAATGCAAAATCTTCATACTACTTAATATCAAAATATCTTTATAGTAACGTAATAAAATATATATATTAGTTTGTTATGTATATTAATCACAGAAATATGAATTATAGTCATATAGTAATAAAATAATATAAACACAGTTTCCAATTAAAAATCTTCAGATACAAATAAATTTAGCAGGGGGCATATGAATTGCCAGAAATTATCATAGCAATTACATTAAACATAAACACATTACATTTAACATACACTTTAAAATAAAATCAAATTTATATTTCGTTAATTTGTATTTTATATTCTCTAATATAATTTTAAAATTTAGAAACTTCTTGCTTAAAATTAATTGTGTAATAGTTTTCATATATAAAAGAGAAATATTTCTAAAAAATTCAATATATTAGTATTATAAAATATAATAAATATTAAAACTATATTATTATTAAATACAGATAACGCAATCTTTTTTGTTCTTTAACAATTAAAATAAAATTGACACTCTGCACTGACTATATACAAATGTATGACGAACAGAAAGAGAAAGAGAAAATAAGCTTTTATAATGTGTTACTTACATAATTATGCTCATCAGTCACTTAAGATTCTAAGATTCATACACATGCATATTTTATTTATAATGAGAAAAATTACTTGTATATTAATTATAATGTAATCTTGATTTGCAAAATATACTTCTGAAATTAATTTTAAAAAGAGTCTGCTCTAGTATTCTTTAGAACAGTCTTTTTATGAACTAAATTATTTCGATTTTTTATATAAGTCTTCTCAGACATACATTTAATGTTCATAGCTGTACATAGTTTTTTCATTTTGGAATAACCAATATCTGCTTTCGCACATCCAGTTGCAGCAGCTACATTAATACCTTTTTCCAAATCTATAGGTTCTGTCCAAAGACTTGCTTGCAGTTTGCATATTTGACATTGAAACCACAATTGTGTTAATAATCCACGACGAAAAAAATTTACAAGTTGCCAATATTTGAACTGGCATTCTGGCTTCTGTGCATGATCATCGAATAGGCGATGCATCTCGTTCCACATAAAAGAGAAATCCACTATGTAACGGCCTGCAGGTATGTTTACTGGGTATGTTACAGGTATGTTGTTTACAATTAAATCCTGCTTGTTGTCTATAATTAAATCCTTGTTGTCTGTACTTAAATCCTCCTTGTCTACAATTGAATCCTCCTTGTTGTCTATAATTGAATCCTCCTCTTCGCACTTTTCAACGTTTTCATTATGTGTGTCTCCTTCTTCTTCATATATTTCTATATATTCTTCATATATCTCTACTTTTTCTTCGTTCTCCACGCTATATTCGTTATCCTTAACCAAATTATCCTCATCATTCCTGTAATAATCAATATTACTATTGCATATATTTTCTTTTTCATATGCTTCTAATGGTTTCTCATAATCATCAGCTTTTTCTTCCTTAATTTGACTGAGATCAGGCAAGATTCCATCGGCAACAAAAATCTGAATATTAGTTGCATTCTCAGTATTTTGAGCATCCTCAGTATTCTGAGCGTTCTCAGCTTGTGCTGTACTTTCCAAAAGCATTTCCTGTCTTAACATTCGCCGTCTGCAAGAAAAAATAAAAAAATATTAAACTATGAATAGATATTTAGACATCGCTGTAATAAAAACAAGTATAAGTTGTAGTTTACATTTTTTAAATTTTACATAGCAATGAAAAGAAATAAAATCAACACTTTACTTATTTCAATATTTTATTTCTAAAAATTAAAGATTATATATTGTGTATTACTTTTTATGATATTTCAATTTATTATAATATTTTTTTTAACTTGAATTATTGTAAAAATATAAATATAAAATTAAAAGAAAGTACATATTTTCTTGTGTTCTTAAAAAAATTTAAATATCAATTTTCTGATTATAGTATAAGTCTATTATAAACCTATGATAAATATTAGGTAAACAAGGTACAAGCATAATTTTTAAAATTTGTCTGTATATGGAAATAGTAATATATATATTGTTATTTTATTTATTATGGATATAAGATGAAGTCGCTCATGTAATTCATCATTAGACTGCAAAATAATTTTATATAAATTTAACATACCTTTTTATCCAGCCTTTTTTCATGGATTTTCGGCGAAGAGAAAGGGGTAAGTGTTTATAATTGTACTTTTTACCCATTATTACTTACCCATTATTACTTTTTATTCTTTATTAAATATTCACTATTTGAAGCACTGTTGATTTCTTTAATGTAATCAGGCAGTAAATTCACTTGCAAACAACAAGTCTGTTTATACATACACAACCAGATCTAATAATAATAAACTGAAATAAAATATGTTTATGATAATATGAATATAGATCGACGTTTATGACATTTGACAAAACACAAGAAGCTTAAGTTGGACACAAAGTGTAAAAGCAGAGAAAGAACAGAAATAAAATCTTTTTTTGTCTTTATGTTTTTATCGATATTATAAAATTAAATAAATATATAATAATTTATATCAATATCAAATATAGACATTAAAACAATTCGATTTATTAAAGATAGAAAAACTAACCTTATCCTCCATCCTTTCTTTCGAGAAACTCTAGCACGAGAAAGGCAAGGCTGTTGTTTATTTCCAATTGTTTTGTGATATTATAGAAAAAATTAAATTTTCGTACAATTTCCCCAAAATGCTATGCTCACTGTATTTTGTCTACACCTTTCGTAATACAGATAGGTAGTTTTTCGAAATACAAGAGCGGCAGACTAGAGTAACACATATATATGTATATGTACATATATATATATATGTACATATATATATATATATATATATATATATATATATATATTTGTTTTAAATCTTATTGTTAGCTCCTTATTTGCTGAAAAAACGTGAGTACACGGATTTTTTTGAATATGTAGACTTCTAAGATTAGTAGTTTTTAATATCTCATTAGTATTTGCACTCACAATCAATTCTTATGCATAAATACGTATATATTTGATTCGATGACATGTGTATATAAATTTTTTAATCTTTACCAAGTTTGTTACTTTGTATAATGTAATGTTCACATAATGCAATTATCTCTATAATTTTAATGTATTGTAAAGAATTGATTAATAAAGAAAATGGTAATTTAGAATAAATAATGCATTAGAATTAGAAGCGTAGTTCATTTGTCATCGATTATATCATTCTGTTTTTAATAATAGTTACAATTTGTATAAATAAGTATTTTATTTTTGATCATGCTACATTTTCACTTAAAAATAAAATTAGTACAATTTCTTTTTTAACTGTGATAGCTTTCATATATAAAAGAAAATGTGTCATATATGTATATCCGAACATGTGTGATTAAAATACATAATATTTTTCTGCTCTGCAATTAAAATAAAAAAATTAATTTGCATTGCAAACGAGTGTCAAATAGAAACAAAAAAATATTTTATAATCTATTATTTACAATTAATCATCAGTCACATAAGATTCTAATATTCACAAATATGCATATTTTATTTACAATGAAAAATTACTTATATATTAACTATAATGTAATTCTGACTTGCACAATGTACTCTGTAATTAGTTTCAAAAAGATTCTGCTTTAGTATTCTTAACTGTCTTTTTATGAGGTAACTTCTTTAGATTTTCTTTATAACTCGACCGAGACAAACATTTAATGTCCATAGCTGTACATAATTTTTTCATTTGAGAATAACCAATTCCTGATTCATCACATCCAGCTGCAGCAGCTACATTAATACCTTTTTCCGAATGCTTAGGTTCTGTCCAAAAACTTGCATGCAACTTGCATATTTGACATTGAAACATCAATTGTGTTAATAATCCACGACGATAAAAATTTATAAGTTGCCAATATTTGAACTGGCATTCTGGCTTTTGTGCATGATTATCGAATAGCCGATGCATCTCTTTCCATATAAAAGAGAAATCCACTATGAAACGGCCTTCAGGTATTCTATTTGAGAAATAGTCGTTGTCTATAATTAAATCCTCTTTATCCTCACAATTTTCACTATTTTCATTGTATGTGTTTTCATCTTCATGTTCTTCTTTTTCTTCGTTATCCAAAACACACTCGTTATCTATATCTAAATCTTCATTTTTGCAATATTCGATATTTTCATTACATATGCTTTCCTCTTCATATGCCTCTATTGGTTTCTCGTAATCAGCTTTTTCTTCCTGAACTTGATTGATTGTGAGATCAGGCAGGATTCCATCAGCAACAAACATTTGAATATTAGTTGCATTCTCAGTATTTTGAGCAGTCTCAGTATTCTGATCGTTCTCAGCTTGCGTTGTATTTTGCAAAAGCATTTGCCTTAGCCTTGCCTGAACTTGATTGACTGTTAGATCAGACAGGATTCCATCAGCAACAAACATCTGAATATTAGTTGCATTCTCAGTATTTTGTGCAGTCTCAGTATTCTGATCGTTCTCAGCTTGCGTTGTATTTTGCAAAAGCATTTGCTTTAGCCTTTGCCGTCTACAAGAAAAAATAAAAAAACATTAAACTGTGAATATAGATATATAGATATAGATATTTATATTATTGCTGTAATAAAAACTAATATAAATTATAATTTACAATTTCTTTTAATTTTACATAATGTTGAACCAACAAATAAGACCAACACTTTGCTTATTCTAATTTTTTATTTCTAATAATTAAAGATTATACATGTATTAAATTTTCAATAATATATTACTTTTAATTTATTGAAAAAATAGTAAATATAAGATTAAAAGAAAGTACATTTATTTTCTTGTATTCTTGAAAAAATCTAAATAAAAATATTTCCTGATTAGTATAAGTCATCAGGGAACAAGTTACAAATATAATTTAAAAATATATAGAAATAGTCTATATATAGAAATAGTAAAATCATATATATAAATATATATATATATATATATATATATAAATTTTATTTATTATGAATGTGAGGTGAAATTACTCATGTAATTCATCATTGGACTGTGAAATAATTTTATTTAAATTTAACAGACCTTTTTAGCCAGCCTCCTCTCCTGGATTTGCGGTGAGCAGAAGGATGCATTCTGCTCTTTGCCCCCATTATTATTTTTTACTGTTTGTTAAATATTCACTATTTGAAGCACTATTGAAGGTAATATATTTCTTTGATGTAACCAGGCATTAAATTCACTTGCAAAAAAACAAGACTGTTTATACATACACAACCGGACCTAATAATAAACTGAAATAATTTTATTCAAATTAGTTTTATTTATCCAATCCTTTTTTATGGAATTAATAAAATATATAATAATAAGAATATTAGATCTCTTTTTATTTAAAACACGATATACACCTCCTTCTCGGCCACAGAGCCAAACGCGAATAAAATATATGTTTATAATATTAATATAAATCGACGTTTGTGTGTGACATTTGGCAAAACACGAGAGGCTCAAGTTGGATACAAAGTGTAAAAACAGAAAAAGAACAGAAATAAAATCTTTTTTCGTCTTTATGTCTTTATCGATATTATGGAAATTAAATAAATATATAATTTATATCAATATCACACAATAGACATTATTAAAACAATTCCATTTATTAAAGATAGGAAAACTAACCTTTTCCTTCATCCTTTCTTTCGAGAAAGTCTAGCACGAGAAAGGCAAGGCTGTTATTTATTTCCAATTATTTTGTGATATTATAGAAAAAACAAAATTTTCGTACAATTTCCTAACTGCTACGCTCAGTGTATTTTGTATACACTTTTCATGTGATACAAAAAATTTTTTGGAAGTACAAGAGCAGTGGAATAGAGTAACAACATATATATGTTATATGTCATGTGCGCGCACACACACACACACACACACACCCATACATATAAATAATACATATAAAATATAAAATATATACTCAGATAGCCACAGTAATTATTATGACATCATTTTGATGACAAATGATGCATTTTGACATCAAAATGTTGTCATAATAATTACTGTGGCTATATATCTGGGTATAATATATATAATATATATAAAATATATATATATATATATATATATATATATATATATATTTGTTTTTAATCTTATTGTTAGCTCCTTATTTGTTGAGAAAACATGTGAATATACGGATTTTTTAAATACATAGACTTCTAAAATTAGTAGTTTTTAATATCTCATTAGTATTTGCACTCACAATCAGTTCTTACACATAAATACATATTATATTTGATTTGATGACATATATGTGTATAAACATTTTTTAATCTTTACCAAGTTTTTTACTTCGTATAATGTAACGTGTTCACATAATGCAATTATTTCTATAATTTTAATATATTGTGAAGAATTGATTAATAAAGAAAAGCTTAATTTAGAATATAAATAATACATTAGAATTAGAAGCATAGTTCATTTGTCATCGATTATATCACTCTGTTTTTTATAACAATTACAATTTGTATAAACAAATATTTTATTTTCAATCATGTTATATTTTCACTTAAGAACATGTATCTTCTCCTAATGGTATTATTAACTTTTATACTAATATTAGTAATTATATATTACATAACTTGTACTTGAACAATTTTAATTAATCTTATAATACTAAAAATCTTAATATTATTTTATATCAAAATATCTTTATAATAATGTATAGTAAAATATTGGTGTTATATGTATATGATTCATAGATATAAAATACAGTAATAAAATATAAACACAGTAATACAATAAAATATAATTACAGTTTCCTATATTATATAATCTTCAGATACAAATAATGCAATAGCATATTAACTGCTAACAGCTTGACAAAAGTTGTCGTCAAACAAAAACAAAATAATGTTTCATAATCTATTATTTACAGTTATTCAATAGTCACTTAAGATTCAAAGATTCACAAACATGCATATTTTATTTATAATAAAAAATTACTTATACATTAACTATAATGTAACTCTGATTTGCACAATATACTACTGAAATTAATTTTAAAAAGAGTCTGCTGTAGTATTCTTCAGAACTGTCTTTTTATGAACTAAATTATTTCGATTTTTTATATAAGTCTTCTCAGACATACATTTAATGTTCATAGCTGTACATAGTTTTTTCATTTTGGAATAACCAATATCTGCTTTCACACATCCAGCTGCAGCAGCTACATTAATACCTTTTTCCAAATCTATAGGTTCTGTACAAAGACTTGATAGCTGCTTGCATATTTGACATTGAAACCAGAATTGTGTTAATAATCCACGACGATAAAAATTTACAAGTTGCCAATGTTTGAACTGGCATTCTGGCTTCTGTGCATGATCATCGAATAGCCGATGCATCTCGTTCCACATAAAAGAGAAATCCACTATGCAACGGCCTTCAGGTATGTTTGGGTGTATTAATGATGGTATATTATAATTGATTCTATTTGACAAATAGTCGTTGTCTATAATTAAATCATCTTGATCCTCGAAATTTTCAATATTTTCATTATATGTGTTTTCATCTTCATGTTCTTCTTTTTCTTCGTTATCCAAAACACACTCGTTATCTATATCTAAATCTTCATTTTTGCAATATTCGATATTTTCATTACATATGCTTTCCTCTTCATATGCCTCTATTGGTTTCTCGCAATCAGCTTTTTCTTCCTGAACTTGATTGATTGTGAGATCAGGCATGATTCCATCAGCAACAAACATGTGAATATTAGTTGCATTCTCAGTATTTTGTGCAGTCTCAGTATTCTGATCGTTCTCAGCTTGCGTTGTATTTTGCAAAAGCATTTGCCTTTGCCTTGCCTGAACTTGATTGACTGTGAGATCAGGCATGATTCCATCAGCAACAAACATCTGAATATTAGTTGCATTCTCAGTATTTTGTGCAGTCTCAGTATTCTGATCGTTCTCAGCTTGCGTTGTATTTTGCAAAAGCATTTGCCTTTGCCTTGCCTGAATTTGATTGACTGTGAGATCAGGCAGGATTCCATCAGCAACAAAAATCTGAATATTAGTTGCATTCTCAGTATTTTGTGCAGTCTCAGTATTCTGATTGTTCTCAGCTTGCGTTGTATTTTGCAAAAGCATTTGCCTTAGCCTTTGCCGTCTATAAAAAAAAAATAAAAAAAACATTAAACTGTGAATAGATATTTAGACATTGCTATAATATAAACTAATATAAGTTATAATTTACATTTTCTTTTAATTTTACATAATGTTGAAACAACAAATAAAACCAATAATTTATTGTATTATTTATTATTTACTTTATTATATTACTTTTTAACTCGAATTATTGTAAAAATATTAAATATAAGATTAAAAGAAAGTACATTTTTATTTTCTTGTATTCTTGAAAAAATCTAAATAAAAAAAATTTCCTGATTAGTATAAAAGTCATCAGGGAACATATTATAATTTAATTATAATTTAAAAATTTGTCTGTATATGGAAATAGTAAAATCATACACATATATATATATATATATATATATATAAATTTTATTTATTAATATAAATGTGAGATGAAATTGCTCATGTAATTCATCATTGGACTGTGAAATAATTTTACTTAAATTTAACAAACCTTTTCAGCCAGCCTTTTCTCATGGATTTTCGGTGATCAGAAAGACGCAATCTGGTCTTTGCCCCCATTATTATTTTTTACTGTTTGTTAAATATTCACTATTTGAAGTACTATTGAAAGTAATATATTTCCTTGGGGTAATCAGTCAGTAAATTCACTTGCAAAATACAAGACTGTTTACACATACACAATCAAACCTAATAATCAAATAAAATAATTTTATTCAAATTAGTTTTTTTATCCATAATTATTTTATGAAGTTAATAAAATATATTTATGGTAATATGAATATAAAATATAGACTGACATTTGATTAAGTACGAAAGATCTCAAGTTTGACACAAATTATCGATATAAAAACAGAAAAAGAACAGAAATAAAATTTTCCTTTCGCTCTTTATATTTTTACCGATATTATGAGATTAAATAAAAATATATAGTAATTTAATTTATATCAATATATAGACATTGAAACAATTGGATTCATTAAGATTTTAAGATAGAAAAACTAACCTTTTCCTTCATCTTTTCTCTTTAGAGAAAGTCTAGGACGAAAAAGCTGCTGTTTATCTCTCATTGTTTTGTGACACTATACGCAAAACGAAAATTTTTGTATAATTTCCAAAATACTTTATTCAGTACATTTTATTCACATTTTTCGTGAGAGAGAGGTAGTTTTCGACATGCGATGGTGGAACACACATATATATATATGTGTGTGTGTGTGTGTGTGTGTACACATACATAACTTTTATTGCTTTTATTCTTATTGTTAACTTCTAATTTGCTGAAAAAATGTACGAATACACGGAATTTTTTTTTTTTCAATGTGTAATCTTCTAAAATTAGCAGTCTTTAATATCTCATTACATTAATATTTGCACTCAGTTCTTGCCATAAATACATATTTGATATTTAATGACATATATAGATATACATATACATTAATTTTTTAATCTTTACTATTTTTCATTCTTCTGTGATGTAATATTCATGTAATGTAATTTTCTCCATAATTTGATTGTATTGCAATGGATTAATAAAAAAAAATCATTATTTAGAATGAATATAATGAATTAGATATAGTTCATTTGTTATCGATTAATATTCTGCTTTTAATAATTACAACTTGTATAAACACAAATACTTTATTTATTTTTACTTAAAAACATATATCTTTTTCTAATAGTATTTTCAACTTTTATACTAATATTACTAATTATATTAATTACATAACTTGTATTTGAACAATTTTAATTAATCTTAATATTATTACTAAAAATTTTTATAATTATTTAATATTAAAATATATTTATAGTAATGTAGTAAAATATTAGTCTTATATATATATGACTCACAGATATGAAATACAGTAACAAAATATAAACACAATAATACAATAAAATATAATTACTGTTTCCTATATTATAATCTTCAGATACAAATCAATGTAATAGCATATTAGCTGTCAGAAAATTGTAATATAATATAAAAAAACTTTGTTTATTCTCTAATACAATCTTAAAATTTATTAGAGGCCTTGTTAGCAATAACAGCTTTCATTTATAAAAGGAAATACAACCACAAATTGTGTTATTAAAATACATAACATTTTTCTGCTCTATAATTAAAAAAAAAAATAAATTTACATTGCAAATGTAATAAGTGCTAAACAGAAATAAAATAATTTTTTATAATCTATTGTTTGGAGTTACTGATCAGTCACTGCAAACAACAGATTCTAAGATTCACAACCATGCATATTTAATTTATAATGAAAAATTAGTTATATATTAATTATGATGTAACTCTGACTTGCACAATATACTCTGAAATTAGTTTCAAGAAGATTCCGCTTTAATATTCTTTAGAACTGTCTTTTTATGAGGTAACATTTCGATTTTTTATATAAGTCTTCTCAGACATAAATTTAATGTTCATACACTTAAATAGTGTTTCCATCTGAGTATAACCAATTCCTACTTTAATACATGCAGTTGCAGCAGCTACATTAATATTGTTTTTAGAATCCTTAGGTTCTGTCCAAAAATTTGCTTCGTAATTACACATTTGACATTTAAAAAATAGTTGTGTTAATAATCCGCAATGACGAAAATTGACAAGTTGCCAATACTTGAACTGGCATTCTATCCCTCGTGCATGATCATCGAACGTCCGATGTAACTCGTTCCACATAAAAGAGAAATCTACTATACAGCGGCCTTCAGGTATGTTCTTTGGTATATTATTGATTCTATCTGACAAAGAGTTGTTGTCTATAATTAAATCCTCCAAATCCTCGCAATTTTCAATGTATGTGTTTTCTTCTTCTTCATGTTCTTTGTTTTCTTCATATACTTCTACTCTTTCTTCGTTATCCAAAACACACTCATTATCCATAACTAAATTATCCTTATCCTTGCAATTTGCGATATTTTCATTATATATGCTTTCCTCTTCATATGCCTCTGTTAGTTTCTCATAATCGGCAACTTTTTCTTCCTCAACTTGATCAGGCAGGATTTCATTATCAACTTTCGATTCAACATTAGAGTTAACGGATATCTGAATATTATTATCGTTATGAATATTATTAGTTGCATTCTCAATATTCTCAGTATTCTGAGAAGCCTTCTCAGCCTTTTCAGCTTCTGCTTTTCTTTGCCTCTCCCGTCTATAAGAAAAAAATAAACACAAAATATGAAGTGATAGATTCTTAGACATCGCTATAATAAAAATAGATATGTAATATTTTATATTTTCTCTTAATTTTACATGGAGAAAGAGGAAGCATTGAAAGAAATAAGATTAACACTTTATTTATTCACATTTTTATTTCAAATAATTAAAGATTACTCATGTATTTTTAATTCTAATTTATTGTATTCTTTTTTAACTCAGATTGTTGTGAAAATATAAATATAAGATGAAAAGAAAATAAATATTTTCTTGTACTTTTTAGAAAAAATAAAATAATCTGATCAAGTATAAATTGTTAGATAACGAATTACAAGTATAATTTAAAAAATGTTTCCATATATATTGATATGTCATATATCATCCAAATTTTATTTAATGTATGGATTATGATATTTTATTAATTTTATATATCGATTTTTTATTAGGTAAAATCGCTTATGTAATTAATCATTGAACTGCAAAATAATTTTATTTAAATTTGGTAGACGTTACCTTAATTTTAAGAAGAATCTTCTCTTGGATTTTCGGCGAGCACAAAGGGTCAACTTTTTGCTCATTATTATTTCTATTTATTAAATATTCAGTGTGAAAGTAATATATTTCTTTATAAATAATCACACACACAGTCTATTTACTCGGAAGAGACAAGATACACAATAATCGAACCTGCAAAATAATTTTATTGGAATTAACTTTTATCCACCCTTTCTTTCAGATTGAATTTTCAGTGACTCGAAAAAAGGCTCAAAACGTTTAGCGTTATACCTTTGTTCAATTGTCATTTTACTTACAAGTAAAAAAACACTCGCAAAACAAGAGAGCGGTTACATATACACAATCGTAACATGAATAAAGATAGATCGACGTTTGACAAACAGGCTTAAGTCAAACTATCGATAAAAACAGGAAAAGAAATTAAATTTTCTTTTCTATTATGTCTTTATCGACATTATGAATTCAAATTAAATAAATATTATACAGTAATTTATATTAAAATCAATATAGACACTAGAATTCGATTTATCAAAGATGAGAAACTAACCTGCTTTTTATTCATCCTTTCTGCAGAGAAAGTCTACGACGAGAGAGAATCAGGTATGTTTTATTTTTCATTGTTTTGAGACATTATACACAAAACAAAATTTTCATACAATTTCCAGTATGTACTTAACAATAAATTTTGCTTTTCATGAGAGAGAGAGAGAGATGCCGGATTTTCGAAATGCACAATAAAGTAGCAGAGCAGAGCAACATGTTATACACATGCATACATATATAACTTGCTTTTAATTTTGATATTTTATTTGCTGAGAAAACATACAGAAAATTGTTTTTCTTTTTAATATGCCAAATTCTAAGATGAGCAGTTTTTGATATTTCATTAATATTTTCATTCAGTCTATATATTTCATTGTGCATGTATAGGTACATATAGACAATAACAAAGGGACTCAAAATTTGTGACTTAGAAATCCTTTATTAACAGGCAAAACGATATCATTGATCATACAAATGATACAGCCTAGAAGTACCTTACAAGATTGAAATTTTGCTTGTTTAAAAATCCATTTCATTCACTTGATAGACAAAGTATTCTCTCTTTCTTTCTATTGTACACTTCATTCAGAAACAATTGTGCCAAACAATAATACACACCCATACATACCTATATGTATATATATACTATCATGTATACACTCTCGACACATTTATCCCTCAAATTACCATCAAATATTATAATTGCATATAATATTATTGTGCTAAATTCTAACAAATATGTATAGTTCTCACACTATCTATATTATTGCACAATGATATTTATTGTTATTGTTTACTATCTGATATATCAATATTACTGTATTGATATCTGTATTGATAGATATCAATATATATTGCATCAATAATATTGATTGTGTAAGAGCTGTTTAAAAGAAGGGTACAGAGTAAAGTAAACGACTCTAAATATACAAAAACATCTGAGATTTATATCGAAATTGTATAAATCAACAATAATGACATTAAATTACATGATTACTTCATAATAATAATATACATACAAAAATCTAATACATTATTGACACTGGTAGATGTACATTTTTTTTACTTTCATTTAAAAAACTACTTTCGGCAACAAAAAGAATATTTTATTCCTTGTCATTTTGCCAACAATGGATTTTGCATCAATGTATGAGGATTTTTTTTATATGTGCTATAACATATCTCTTTGATATGCAAATATAAATTTTACTAAGTAACAAATAAATCAAAACATGAAATCTATTCCATAAAAATATGGAAGGGATACAAGTCGTAGAGAAGCAAGAACGGATTTGTTGAAATTTTAGAAGACTCATGTTACAAATATATTATAAAACATATTTATATTGAATGTTGAAAAATCGTCTCATCGTCATTTTCTAATTAGTAACTGTATATAAATTAATTACGAAAATCTCACTGCACCACACTATACTTCAATCTCATTACAATTCATCCTTAACTATTGTATACCTATTTTTGCTTGGTGCCAGTTTCTTGAATGCAGATTCTGGCGGTGTTGTGGGTGTTTTTACCTGTTTTCCAGTAATTTGTGGTATATCATTATTAGTAATGTCAGGACCATAATGGAATTCACGATGAAGTTTGCCAGAATACAAGTCTTGGAGAAAAGCTTTAAGTTTTCCTTCCAAGAAAATGTCATTGAAATTTTTGAACAGGTACATGTGTCTAAAGCTATCTATTGCAATCAATGGGAGATCTTCTGTGCTTTTTCCTAAATGATGTAATGGATGTGCAAATTTCAGGCCATCAGCAGTTAAGAAATTGACATTTTCTGGAAAAAAAAGAATGTAATTTAAAAAGTTGTAAGAAAAGTAATAATAACATAAATAAGAGCATGACGTAACGTACGTTTTTCGTTTATCAATGTTCTAGTTACAATATCTTTGTACAGCTTGACACTTTCTATATCATCGGGAGCATGGAACAGAATAAGGAATGGCAGTCCTTCTTCCGTTAATTCTTCCGCGTTTTCAAATGTTATTTCTCTTACAAGCGGGACACATTTCTCCTGTGCCCATACATTTAATTCATCATAATTGCTTAAGCTTCCTTCATAAGTTTCATCCTCATCGTTGGACAGGGCTTTATCAGATCGGAAGACAATAATAGGCTCTCCTAGAGGATGCAGTATCTTACTTGCATTCCTAGACATATTATTTTAAAATTAATAGATATATTTATTTGGCATATTTATTATTTCACTCACACAACTGAAAACATTTTAAAAAATAGGATATAATTTAATCATTTAATTTGCACCAAATATAAACTAAGCAAATTAAATAAAATAAATCTTAAAATTATAAAGTAGATCATTAAAAAATTTTTTTAATATTGAGAAATTTGCTGTAAGAAATCAAACATTTTAATAATATAAAAATAAATATAACATTGTACAAAATGTTATACAACATAAAATATATATCAAACAATTTTATAAATGCTTCCAAAGTACTGCAAAAGCCCATAAGCTTGTATGTACCATTTTACTTACAGCAAATGAAAGTGCTGTCCAATTTCACAGTTTTGATTGGAGCATGTACTTGTCAAATGAGAATATATTATGATAATTATTATATTATACATAATATTTTATTACACTAATTCTTATTTGCAGTCATTTCTTAATTCTTACTAGTAAAGCTTTCTTAATTTTTGCATCCATATCAATTTGAAGTGAAAATATTTACATCATAAATAACAATATATGTATATGATGTGATAGTTCTATATATATTACAAAATAAATATAACTTACCCAAAACCAACATGAAACTGACAATCATCCTTCAAATTAGTAGCAACTTTCCTGAATAATTCGTATTCTGGTACATCTTTCCTGTCAAAGTATCCAATAATCATACGCTTTTTATCATCAAGTTCATTAAGTTCTTTTAAATAAAAAAATTCTCTAATAGGATCTTCCAGTTGTTTCCTAACAAATTCTTGGAATGCTTCAATTGATCGCTGACCTCTGTATTCTCTCTTGGTTGGTTGTCCATTTCTTATTACTTTTAATGTTGGATATTTGCTTATGTGAAACCTAGATGCAATAGATGCTGAAACATGATATAATCTCGTAATATTTCAATTAATTAAAAAAATATATCGAAATTTTTATATACAGATTAATATTTAAATCTTGCTTATCCATAATTATATAAATTGCCATATATCCTTTCTGAATATACTTTAAACATACTTTCTTGGTCACAATCCACTTTAGCCATTACTATTCTCCCTGGTTGTGGAAATTCTGCTCTAATCTTATCCGCAGCTTTATCAAAAATTGGGGCTAATAAGTTGCTGAAGCGACACCATTGTGCATAGAAATTTATAAATACAAGTTCATTCCCAGCTGTGAAAAAAATGTATATAGTTTGAAAAACAGATGCATGTTGGTCTGTATTTAATATTGATATTTGTTGAATATAAATATATGCGCAACTTACCTAATGTTGTATCAATATTTTTATGGGTGAGTGAAACTGCTCCTTCTCCTACTTCTTCTGCTATATTGTTTGGCAAATAAATCTAGAAATATAAGAATATTAAATACACACACATATATATATATATATTTGTTTGTTTTATTATAAAATTCAATTTATAGTATATCAAGCACACACACACAGATATTGATTTTTGAAGAGAATTCATTGCTTAAATATTGCTTTTTATTAGGAGAGATGTGGTCTTTGCTTCTTAAATCATTATATCAATCTTTGTATTATTGGATACAAGTAATTAACTAATAACATTGTAAATAATCAAAGATTTTTGATAGATATTTTATCAATCATTCATGGAAATAAGACAGGCATGATTTTTCATTGAAGTGCGATTTCTGACATCTTGGTAATAATTTTTGAAAAAAATTGCTATGATAATAATGATTGCAGCATAGGTTATGCGGCATGAGAAAATTGAAATAAAAATCCCGATAACGGGTCTGAGCGTTAAGATAAATAGTAACGGGAATTAAGAGACGGGAAGAATCGCGTATCGTGGACCGATATGAGGTTAAACGTGAAAAAATACTGTTAAATTTTTACACGCATACTTGCGCGAGGAAAAGTCTTCGCAAATGACGTGGCAATTGTGTAACGCATTACTCACCAGGAGACACGCGAGTATAAGTACTTTGAGATGAAAAATATCACAGCGGGTCAGCATTCTGCGATTCTCGCGAAAACGGCGGCTAAACGACGACAAACTTTTGATTCACCATCAGTATGCGGCTGCCTATGTGTCAACTGTGCTACGAGCTTAGCGGCATGTCGGATGAGAATCGAGTGATCCCTCGAGACAATCGATTGTCAGCGTCCCGCGCCACTGACGTTTTCGAAATGCCGACCGAATTCGAATTTTGTGCGCATATATTCTTTTTTGTTTTTCTTACGCGTGTGCGTACGCGTCTTTACGCTATCTTACGTTTCGCTTCGAGTAATTAGCCGAATTATCACGTCAAAGTTAATCCTTATCTATATTGTTTTCACTTTCACATCTGTATCCACAATTTATTGCGACATTGAATTCGTTATTCGTAATGAAATGTTTTAGGAATACGCGACATGCAATATATTATTAAATTCGATGTATTTCTAAAAAAAAATCGCGACACGTAATATATATTGCACAGTAAAATTTAATTACGTTTTCATTAAGTTATACTTATATATTTTATTGATATAATTTTGTGATTATTACGTAATAATAAAACTACAACAAATAAGTGTATAAATTTTTTTACATTTATTTTATATTTTATTCCAAAATTTTTTAGATATTAAACTACGACATTCCAACTATACTATAATTTCATCATTTTATATACAATAAATAAAAGATTGATATGATATATGTACATGTATCAGTATATATTTGGTCAATTTATCAGTGAATAGATTTAATTTCTCGAAGCAATTTGCTCTATATAACTAATTGAAAGTAATTATCAAAAATATATACAATATAAATAATAAATTTGAATAAAATTTGACAATTTTGAGTTAAAATTTAGAATAAAGGAAATGGATACAAGTGTATATATCCTTAGATCTTTCAATATAAAATATTGCACTTTTAAAATAGAAAAATGTTATAGATTTTATTTCTTTTGAAATTTCTAAGTATTTACATTTGTACATTCGATAATGCTATCAAATTATTAAAACGAGTTTCCTTTACGGAGTTTTGCCGATTAAGCGCAAAATAAGATGGTCCTTGATATGATATTATTGAGCCACCCAGACATTCCTCTCCAGAATATAAAACGGCATACTGAAATATAAATTAGTCTATATATCGATGTTATTAATCTTTTAATGATAATTTGAGAGAAAGAAATATAGAAAGAGAAGATAGATACAATCAATGTTCTCTATTCTAAGTTTTTTCTATTCCAAATTAGATGATTCTCTTGCGCTACTTTCCTACCAGACAAGTTTGCACACAATCATGTTAGCGCAACTTTTTATTTTGTACATGTGCCATTAAAATAAGAGAGTAGAGATGAAGAATATCTTCAAATAGAGAAATGTTTAATTTGTTTGAGCCTATAAAATAGAGGAAATTGATTGTACATTTTATCATTATATACTATAAATTACCTGGCCTTTTGTAATCGCTCGTAAAGGTACGCTAAGGCGGATAAATAAACGATTGTGGGATATTTTATACACATTGCAACCGATTAACGGATTCCTATGTTGAAAGCGAAAGTCACAATTCAATATGCCTTTGTATTTCAATTCCTGTGGTTCCTCATTAATCCAATGAACGTCCTGCGTTATCATAAAGTCGGTATACAATGCTGGATGAATTGTACTGTCCACCTGTAAAGATTAGACATGATTAAGAACTTTTAATTTATTTTCAATGAAATTTTGATCTTTCTCTACTTATTATATTACATACCGCTACAATAGCATTTGTCTTCTGATCCTTGCTAAACACAAAATAGGCCTTCTTACAACCGCCGATTCTGCATCTTTGTCCTATCGTCCATTTATGGATGCCATGATGTCTGCCTATCGACAATCCACTATCTAGGTCTATATATTCACCAGGTTTATCATCTATGTACTGTAGCAATAACAAAATCATAATTATTAAGTGTGCCTTAATTCAATTCGATATACAATATATTCTGTTTGATTACAAACGTATCCTCTTTTACCTCTGAAATAAAATCTTGAAACTCACGTTTACCCACAAAGCAGATACCCATGCTCTCCTTTTTCTGTACTATCTTGTGCAAGCCTGCTTCTTTAGCCATCATCTTTACATCATTTTTCAGATAATTTCCAAGAGGAAACATGCAATGTCTTAAAGCTTGTTGCGGTATTTGATTTAAAAAGAACGTTTGGTCTTTATTACTGTCATGTGCTTGTAATAACTGTACATCTAGAGGATTATTATAATATTGCATTAAGAAAGATTTGATTATTAAACAAGAATAATATTATTTAATATGGGATACTTGCTAGTGTCTGCTTTATAGTTTTCCAAATAAGGTCCAAAGCTCGTTCTGGCATAATGGCCTGTCGCAATCGCATCTGCTTGAAATCTATTACGTGCAAGATCAAAAAATTTACTAAATTTGATATTTTTATTGCACAGAATATCTGGATTTGGAGTCTGTCCCATCTGATACTTTTCTACAAGATTGCTGGAAAAATAAGACATAAAGATTACGTTATCTACATTACTTATTGTAAAAAAAATATATATGTATAAATACCTAAAGACATCGTTCCAATATTCCTTTACAAAATTAACTTGTATTAAAGGAATTTTCAATTTGTCGCAAATCCATTGAGCATCATTGCAATCTTTCTCAACTACACACTTTCCTGTTTCATCTCTAATATCCCAATTCTTCATAAATACTCCAGTGACATTAAATCCTTGAAAAGATATTTTTTTAATAAATATATACGAGAGAGGAATAAAATTCTAAACACTTTTTACCTTTGTTTTTTAGTAGAAGAGCTGTCACAGCGCTGTCGACCCCACCAGATACACCCACCACGACGTTCCTGATCATTTCCATAGAATTTGTCGAGATTCGTATTGCATTATCCAACGTTACGTATTGTTGTGCAACTGTTATAATATTAATTTTCAATTTTTCTAATTATCACATTTGTCCTTTTTTAATCGATCAATTATCTTATTCATAAATCTTTTTCAAATTTTATCCCAGTACATCAGGAATGACGTAATTTGAAAATTTGGACAGAGATACGCCGACATTCATTCGAAATTATTGACATCCCAGGAAAGCGTGGACCAACTAATACAGCAAGTAAAACAGTTTTTAGATTTTGTCCAGAAACGCTTCGATTATTTGCGAACGGACCATGCGGACGGATCGACACACGTCACGTGATCCGGATACGTAAAAAAAAAAAAAAAAAAAAAAAAGAAAAAACGTAAGCAAAAAAAGTAGAAACAAAAATTTTAATCCATATCTCCCGAAATTTCCGCGATAATTTTCCTTCTCGATACGCGTACCCTGCAAAGATAAAAGCGTCATCGAGATTATTCCGCGAACGTCGCCATTGATCTTTTTCCTCTCTCTCTCTCTCTCGCTCGCGACACATACGACGTCGTGACGTCACGACGGTCGCGAGTGCCATATTGTCGTAAAAATTCGACCGGTCGGCGTCCAATAAACGCGCGGCTCTCGTCCATTCCAAGCCCATCGACAGATAAGCCGCGAACGGGTCGCGGCGCGTAGTGCACTCGGCATGTCGAGTTGCGGCGTGTGCGACGTGAATCCGCGACGCCCCGGCTGGTCGCGGCACGCGTCCAAAATCGCCGACCCGGCGACGCGTCGCCCCAAGCACGTCGCGATCCTGCCGCGACGGCGGGCCATTTTGCGCAGTACCCGTGACCCAGATTACGATGGGGGTTCGCTCGTCTCTTGGAACAGCTGTTGGCTCCGACGAGACGTCCGCGCCGCGCGGCGAGGGGAGGCGCGCCTACTCGAGCTCGCCGAGCATGCGCGCGCCAAGAGGCGGCTTGACGCAACAATGGCGGCCCAGGGCCGTAGTCGACGCTCATGTTTTTTTTTTTTTTTTAGATACCCGTTTTAGGCGCGGAAATCAATTGCTTTCCAAGGGAGATCGCGCGAGTCTCGGGGTGTCTTATTTCGAGGCACGAAAAACAGGTCGATTCTATATTTTGACAGGTTCACTTCGACAGCGAAGAAACGTTCCTCCGGTTAAAAATATCCTCGCGTCAAAAAATAAGAAACAATCAGCCGATGGAGCATGAAATATTTATTTATATTATTTCCGCTGCGCGCAATGTCAAAATAAATCCCGCGCACCTGCGACAAACAAAATCGTCGGGAGACTTTTTTTCGATTCGTTCGCGGCGCGAAACGGGCACTCGCGGGCAGTGGAGAGCAGCGCCCGAGTGGTTGGTAACAGCGACGCCGCGCCGCTAGCGGCGCAAGACGCTCCTGCGCAGCATCACCCCCACTCTCGGGCGCCGCCTCCCACCACTCCGGCCGTCACCGCCGCTGTCGCCGTTCGTCGTCGTCGTCGTTCGTCCCGTCCCGCTGCGCGCGGCCAGTCGGTTCCTTGTTTGCCATCACACACGAAATCCAATAGTTTGCCTTGTACTGTGGCGAGGGAGTGCGGATGCGCGGTTCGGCGATTTCGCGTTATACGTCGCGTCGACTTGCGTGCGAGAAGAAGCGGAGGAAAAGAAGTCGCGGCGGTGAGTGAATTCGCGGAGTCCGGAGTAAACGAGAGAGAGAGAAGGCACCCGGTGCGATAATGCGCGCCCCGTGCCCGCGCCTAAGATGCACATTAGCCCGCGTTTGTTGTTTACCCACACGACGAGATTCCGCCGATTCCGCTGAGAAGTGATCTCCCGCGCGAGACGAATTCCTGTCCGCGGACGACCGGCCCGTTAAGGCGTTCGTTCATTTTTTTCGTCGGTGAAAAGACCGTGGAATCGCGAGGGAGAAAGAGAGAGAGAGAGAGAGGACACGCATAAAAATTGCGCCAAGGGGCGGAGGGGGTGGAGAGGAGGAGGAGGATCCGAGTGTATGTGGAGAAAGAGAGAAGGAGAGCGGGAGAAGAAAGAAGGAAAGACAGACGGAGAGGGAGCGCGAACGCGAACGGAAGAGGAATAGAGAGAGAGAGAGGTGGAAACGGTGCGTGCGGGAGACGGAGAAAGAGAGCTTTTGTGGTGCGTAAGGGTCGATTATACGCCGTCGAGCCGTCGAGAGAGAGGCTCGAGGGATCCCGCCGACCTCGCGGCGAGGGTGCGCGGCGAGGCTCCTTTTAGCGCTGGCGGACCAACAGTGGCCGCACGCGGCGCGAACATTGCGTTACTCGTCGTGAGCGGAGGCCGCGTTATGTATTTACGTAGAACATTGCGTAACGTACAAGGGGCCGGCTAAGTGTGTGCATGTGTGTGTTTGGGAAAAGGCGCGCGACGAGGGAAGGAAGAGAAGAAAATTGACCGAAAAAGAAGAAGAAAAAAAAAAAAAAGATATCTTCGCTCTTTTCGCGACACGTACATTTCCGCGGTTTCGGCTGCTGCGTGCCCCCTCCCCTTCCTCCCTTCTCTCCCCCCTCCCCACCCCCGGTTTTAGGTGGACGGTGGTAGTACGGGCTCTACGTACGGAGAGTGTGCGGAGAGTTTTGGTTGACTGTACCGGCGCAAGTTTCGCGCGTGCATACGCAGCAGGAATCCAAGCAACCCGGCCGCCGCCGCCGACGCGGATCGAAAGTTTCGGGGGAGCTAGAAGAGGAGAACTCGGCCGACGCCAGTGTGCGGCTACTCGACTCGACTCGACTCGACGCCGAGACCCGTATATTCGTGCCCGTTTGTACGTCGTCGCGCTTCTGCTGCGACGAAACTACGTGGGAGATATAGGGACGCAGAACGTTTTCTCAGATGGAAATTGGTACGGAGAAATTTCCGGGAGAACGAAAGGGTGAGAGAAAGGGAGAGATGCTTCGCCGATCGCTCCGGAACAGTTTGCCTCGACGCCAATTTTTTTTCCACGTATGCGCAAGGTCGAGAACTCTTTGCAGCTGGGGGTCGATCGGGTGTCTCTTTCTCTCTCTCTCTCTCTCTCTCTTCGTCGAGCTAAACGCGAGTTTGTAACTTATTTTTATAACGTGCCACTCTCACGAGTCGCTCGCGCGTATTTGCTCCTTATTCTTGGGTTTAGACGAGGGATTTACATTTTTCGAGATGCCGCACCGATTTCGTGATTGTGTGACATTATATTACGTCTCTTTCGACGTTTCCCGTGAATCATATTTATTTTGCACAATGAAAAGTAGTTGGTCGAAATGTCTGGATACTTTCGAGTATCGATATTCATTTTAATCGGCAGATTGTTGCGCGAAAAACGCTGTTTATTGTTCAACGTTTGTGATTTCTGAAATGCGTTAAAAAAATAAGTCACGTGTATATATATATAGATTTCTCTGATATTTTATGTTTCATAATCACGACTGAGAGACCCTTGAAGGAAAAAAATGATTCGATCATATGGCGCCATCCAAATTCCCTTTATTTATATTTATATGTGTTTTCGAAAGAATAAATTGGTGCATAATTAAGACATATTCCGTGCGAGTGTTACGATAAAAATGAAGGAGATAAAGTAAAAAAATGGTCTTAAACTATGTCAGGATAAGTTAGGTTATGTAGAAAGTCTCTTCTATCTCAGCATTCCTTACAGGTTAACGATTGGATGATTAAACAGTAAAATCGCTGGTCGAAAGAAAACAGAACAAGATTTTTTTCACTCTAACTTGATATAATTTTCACTTTTCTTCACATATCTGTATCGCAAGATTTACACAGAATATTCCTTAATCATTCACGCAAATTAATTTTACTTGGAAATATATAAATAGATCAAATGTGATGAGAGACTGTTTCTCCGGATGATGCCATATGATTTTGAAATGTCATAATTATGAAATATAAGATACATGATATACATATTTTTCATGTGGGTGTTTTGAAAATTACAAGCAATTTGTGATAAGTAAACTTTTAAATTATATTTGTGAACAGAAATGTGCTTGAAATTATTACCAGTAACTTAAGTATCCTGATAGCTATTTTATGCTGCTAAAATTTTATTAAGAATTACAAATAAATATAATTCATAGGAAATAGATTTAAATTTTCAGTGATACATATTTAATATAATTTTGTACAAAGATACAAGATATATAAAAAATACAAAGATATAAAAGAGGAGCATATATATATTACAAAATTATTAGCTTTACAATCTGAAGATCTTGATAAAATTGATAAATATAATTCATATGAAAACTTAAACATGTACCGTGTATCAAATTAAAAGATACAAATGTGCAACATTGCTCTATATAATACTGTTTACACAATTTAATTTCTTGTGAGATAAACACATGATATGTTTTCAGTATTATATACATATTTATCATTACTTTATATATTTTCACATATATCAACCAAATTCTCAAATAAATCTAAACATATTTCTCATAAAAAATGTATATATCAACATTAAAAAATAATTTGCATATTAGATCCAACATTTGTTAGAATTGTCTTTATTTTTTAGCACTTCCAATGTGATTTGCAATGAAACGTATTCGTGGACTAGAAGACGTAGCATCACCACCAGCAAGGCACTCATCGGTGAGTGCGGGAAGTGGCTTAGGTGGTGGAGGAGGTAGCTTAGAGTACCATGCAAGCAGTGGGATAGGTGTTGTCGTACCTGGTCAAGCAGTTCGATCTGTTGCTTCGAAAGAAATGCCAGGGAGTATACAATTTGGTACTGCCCAGGCTCAGCAGCAATATACCGGTGCAATTGTTGTGCCAACAGCAGCACCATCTCCTATCAAAGTAAGTATAGTTTAGACTACGTGTGTGTATAACAATATATAACAGCATTGCAATAAATATTACAAATGTCATTTAATTTTTAGCAGGCAAGTGGTTCTGCGGGAGGACTTAGTTCTACATGTAGCGGTAGCAACATAAATACTAGTGGTGGTTTGAACAGTGGACTAGGTAGTGGCAATAGTCACGCCATGGCTTCCCAACCACCAACATCAGGATCGCAAAATCAAGTACATACACAACAGCAATCAACAATAAGGCATAAGGTTTGCAGTTTTCAAGTTTTCTCTTAAAATAAATAGAAAAAAAATATATTTTTATTGAGCATTATGCTCATTAAATAAGAAAGTTGTAAAGAAAAGGTAATTGTAATTGCAGGTGCATACTGGTAATATAACACCACTGGCTTCCACTCCACCTGGCTCCAATCAAGGAGGAGGAGGAGGAGGAGGAGGAGGTAGTGGTGGTGGAGGAGGGAGGAGGAGGAGGAGGAGGAGGAGGAGGAGGAGGAGGAGGTGGTGGTGGAGGTGGAGGAGGAGGAGGAGGATCTCAGTTTCAGAGATTAAAAGTGGAAGATGCGCTATCTTACCTAGATCAAGTCAAATATAAATTCAGCGATCAACCACAGGTAAATAACCAAAATTTAATGCTTTATGCGTTAACAGTTGATGAAAAGAATTGTATATCTTAAAATGCTGGTAATCTTAAAACTAGTGTATTTTTTTCATTTCCATTGATATACTTTTACATATTAGGTCTAATTTGATGAGAAACTTGATTTGATTGGCTGTTAGCTTTTTACTTTTTTCAACAAACATGCCAATCGTTGAAAGAAGCATCTTGGTGAATCATGTGTAATGAAAAATGCTTGATATTAACATGAATATTTTTATTTATAGGTGTACAATGATTTTTTGGATATCATGAAGGAATTTAAATCTCAAAGTATAGATACTCCGGGCGTTATAACCCGAGTGAGTCATCTGTTCAAAGGACATCCCGAGCTTATTGTTGGTTTCAACACATTTCTCCCACCAGGCTATAAAATAGAAGTACAAGCAAATGAACAAGGATATGCTTTCCAAGTGTCCGTCAGTATGCCAAGTCCAACAGCAACGCACACAGCTACACTATCGCAACATCACTGTACAGTTAATGTTGGTTCACCTCCTGTAGCTAGCCCACCTACGCAGCCTGCAAAAGCACCTCCAGTTTTACAAATAATGCAAGGGTAAATAATATTTTGTTAAATGTAATAATTTATTACATAATTAGAATTTTTCTTTAACTAAAATTATAAAAAAGAAGATACAATATCTGTAATTACGATGTCTGTTCTTAGGTCGGGCAATATTCACCATACTTTAGCAAACAGTATTACAACTAATAGTTTAACTGTTCACGCGCCTTCACCACCGCCGGTTCCAGTGTATAATAATTCGCACGTTAGCACCGCGCAAGCGCAAGCTGTCAGTCAAGCTTTAAGTCAAGCTGATGGTGTATCTACTGGCGGGCAAACGCAACAAAGTCAGCCAGTAGAATTCAATCATGCGATAAACTATGTTAATAAAATTAAGGTAAGGGATTATAATTATAATTAGAAAACATGTAGTAAAGAGTAAATTAATATACTTATAATATATTATTTCTAGAATCGCTTCCAAGGTCAACCAGACAAATATAAACGTTTCTTAGAGATATTGCATACGTATCAAAAAGAACAGAGAAATTTAAAAGAATCTGGACATATGGGAGGTACGAGTTCTGGTGCTACAGGTGGAGCAAAACATTTAACAGAAGCGGAAGTTTACAGCCAAGTGGCTAAATTATTCGAAAATCAAGAAGACTTGCTTGCTGAGTTTGGACAATTTTTGCCAGATGCTACTAATCAGCAAAGTTCGTTGGTGAGTCATCTATTTATGATAGAACAAACCAATAATTTTTAATTTTAGTAGAAAATTGCAATCTGTTTGAAGAATCTAAAATACATAATAAATTTGTTACAAGTAAACTTTCAAACTGCACACAACCACACAAGACGCAAATATTATTAGATTTACCATATTCGTTTAAAATCCATGTCTTGTTATTTGAATATTTATTAATAATTATATACAAAAGTCAAATCTTTTTTATTATTAAGAAAAATTTTCATGCAAAACAGTGAGTTCTGATTCGTATTAGTCTGCTATGTTTCAGACTAACAAAACAACATCGATTAACGATCATACGGCGATTGTTAAGAAACCAATTGGGCTCAAAACACCTTACAACAATTCTGGAACTATTTCGAGAGATCTTCGAGAATCCGGCAGCACGGCCGGATTGGAACGCGATAGTCGAGATCATAGAGAACGGGAACGAGAACGAGATAGATCAAACGTACGAGACATCAATAGCGGGCAGAAATTTGGGCACAGCACCGGACAGTTGAAGAGGAGTCCATCGTTCTCAACTTCGGCAACAGCCGGAAATTCTCATCACGTGCAACACGGGCCGCCCCCTTTGAAGAAACCCAAAGTTACTTCGATGCGCGACGTTACTATAGCGGAAGCTGGCAAATATGGTACTCTCAACGACTATGCTTTCTTTGACAAGGTGAGTAACATTTTGAATATTCATCTCTCTTCAATTTTTATTACAATATTCTCTTTAAGACTCCTGGCTCCTCACCGACGTGTTGGAATTGTGACGTCAGAGGCGAGAAACATACGCAAAAAATTCTTAGATGCCATGTCAAAATAAAAAGATATTTCGATGAAACATCACTTCAAATAGTTTTAGTACACTCTTAAATTATCTCGAAAATTACCTTTTTCCCTTTATAATTAATTGTAAAATTGAGTCCAGTCTGTAAATGCGTTAAAGCCATCTGACGTCATAATTTAACATGGCCGTAGCGAGAAATCCAGGAGCCTTAAGAAAGAAATATTTTTTAAAGTAAATTTATAATAAATTATTCATAATATTTCTCTCAGGTTCGAAAATCGCTTAGATCGCAAGATGTTTACGAAAATTTCCTTCGATGTCTTGTGCTTTTCAATCAAGAAATAGTATCGAAATCGGAACTCGTTCTATTGGTGACACCGTTCCTCGGCCGTTACCCCGAACTCTTGCGTTGGTTCAAAGATTTCCTCGGTTATTTACCCGCTGATTCGTCCGCCACTATGACAACAAACTTGGGTAATGCAGTAGGAGTGGAGACTTTCCCAAACAGTGTTGTACGGAGCCATCAGGAACGACCGCAAAACGACTTGGCGATAGAAATCGATTACGCAGCGTGCAAACGATTAGGAGCGTCGTATTGTGCATTGCCAAAATCGTATATTCAACCAAAATGTGGCGGCAGAACGCAATTATGTAAGGAAGTTCTCAACGATACTTGGGTCTCGTTCCCAACTTGGTCAGAAGACAGCACATTTGTAACATCAAGGTAAGCAATCAGATTTCATCTATATAAAAATTAAATACTTTTCACACACGATAATAATTAGATATTATAATTTATATACGAAATTCAATATATTCATTTGTCCAGGAAAACTCAATACGAGGAGTCCATATATCGTTGCGAGGATGAACGCTTCGAATTGGACGTCGTAATAGAAACCAATGCATCGACGATCAGAGTACTCGAAGGCGTTCATAAAAAAATAAATAGGATGAGCCAAGAAGAAGCACAGAAATATAAACTTGACGATTGTCTCGGTGGTTCTTCCCCGACGATTCATCAACGAGCGATAAAGAGGATATACGGCGACAAATCTCACGACATCATAGAGGGTCTGAAAAAGAATCCTCAAATAGCTGTGCCTATTGTACTCCGCCGATTAAAAGCTAAGGAGGAAGAATGGCGGGAGGCGCAAAAGGGTTTCAATAAAATCTGGAGAGAACAGAACGAAAAATATTACTTAAAATCCTTGGATCACCAGGGGATTAACTTTAAACAAAACGATGTAAAAGCATTAAGGTCTAAAAGTTTGTTCAATGAAATTGAAACAATATACGATGAGGTTGGTATACTTGTTTTATTTATTCTCTTAATTTTCTCTTTCAATTTTGTAATTATTTAATGCGTTAATTATTATACAGAGACATGAACAGGGTGATGACGGTAACGGTGATGGTCAAGGAAACAGTGGTCCGCATCTCATTCTACCGTACAAAGATAAATCTGTATTAGACGATGCTGCTAATCTCTTAATTCATCATGTTAAACGGCAAACTGGTATCCATAAAGAAGACAAGCAGCGGATAAAACTTTTATTGAAGCATTTCATACCCGATCTCTTTTTCCATACGCGACAAGAACTTAGTGATGACGAAAGGGATGAAGATGGTAAGATTCTTTACGATTTCTCTTCGCCATAAGTGAAACCAATTTTTCTATTTTAAATCATTCTATTCCTATTTAAAACGGAATTGAGTGCTACATATAATATATATGCTTTCTTTTTGTTACAGATGAAAAGGAAGATATAAATGTGGCAACAACGTGTAACAATTCCCAGTCTGCGACGACTACTTCGTTAAGTGGTCTGCAAGCTAATAGGAGTAAGGCTCCCGTGTCGCCAAATATGTCTTCCACGTCCATCAAAAATGAACCCGATATCAAAGTACCTATATCCACTCTCTCGAGTGATCCTCTTGAAGCATATACACTTTTCATGGCCAGTAATAATTGGTACCTCTTTTTGAGGTTACATCACATACTTTGCGAGAGATTAACGAAATGCGCGATAGAACAGCCGCTCTCATCGATGAAGAATCAAAGTATAAGCAGCAACGCAAGGAAAGTACAGCGATTGCTTTAAGATTAAAACCAAAAGTAAGTTTACTCTGTGTATAATCGATTATATGGTTTTGCTTTTATCAATCAATTGTATTAATCATTTCCATCATTGTGTGCTTTAGATGAAATCGAATTTAAAAATTATTATAACACCTTTCTGGATATGGTCAAAAATGTTCTCGATGGAAATATGGAAAGCACAGCGTACGAGGACACGTTACGAGAAATGTTTGGTATACATGCCTACATTGCCTTTACTCTTGATAAGATCGTAACTTACGCTGTGAGACAAGTAAGTGAATTCCGTAAAATTTTCTTTTGATATTGTGAAAGGAAAAACGATGAGTGTTCGAAACTACATATATATTTTCTGATAGTTGCAGCACTTGGTCACAGATACTATATGCCAGCAATGCATGGAATTGTTCCAAAGAGAACAACGTCAACCTAAGGAAAACGGAAGTGGTGCCGGTGGGCCGTGCATCGGGTCACACGTGAGATTAAGTGCTGAATTATCATATCAACGTAAAGCGGAAAAGACAATGGTGGATGAAAATTGTTTCAAAATATACATAGTAAGTATCTTTAAAATACTTGATTTATCGTATACTAGTGGTTTCAATGTAGCAATTATTTTATATATATATATATATATATAATTTGTGTGTGTATATAAAACTCTAATAAATTAATTTTTTATACACGAAATAATTTATAAAATGTTATTATTTTATGTATAAAAATGTTTGACTAGATTTTTGGGAATTATTTTAATAAAATAAGCAAAATGCAAAATGTGTGTGTGTGTGTGTTTGAAATAAAGTTAAATCAAATATTAAAGAATTTAATCAAATATCTCAATACAAATCAGATTTGTCATTAATGACATGCTACATTGAACGTTTTATATAATTAGGATATAATCTCATCTTACATTCTCATCTTTTTATTACAGTTCCAAAATGCCTGCAAAATGACAGTGGAGTTGTTAGATACAGAAGGCGACGAAACAGTGGATAGTGGCTGTAGAGAGAGAGAAAGGGAAGGCGTTGCAGCCACTGAAAAATGGTCGACGTACGTTGAGAGATATCCAGCTGGTCAGACTAGCCCAAAAGACACTCCTGCCTTAACAGAGAATGAGCCGCCGACCAATCATCCTGTGAGTAGCGACCAGGCAGCAAGGGGGGGGAGGGGCAGAAAACGCAAGAACACTGACATTAGTAAGAAGGTATAGGATCCAAATACCTTTTCATAATCATTAATCAACGTTCATTCGCGTAATAATTCTGATACCTGTGATTAGAATTGTTGTACGAATCGTCGTTTTTATTTGGCGTACAACAAAAGTATCCCCAAAGAATAAAGGTATGATGGAAAATTTTTTTCTATCACAAATAGAATTGATTTGTGAAAAAGTAAAATGAAATATTGAGCACTTTCTTTCGCGGAGTGCGATCTTCGTATAAATTTCGTCGGAATAGGAACACGCGACTTGTGAAAAATATACGGATACATATACATTGCTAAATTATATTTACGCGAACGATTAGGACAATCGTATTAATTTCCCATAATTATCATATCAATTATAAAATTTCTGTACATGTATCCAACGTTTTATCTAATTAAATATTCTTTTCATACGCGAAGCAGAAAGCAACGTTCATATACTTATTATATTTTATAATAATTGGAAATTTATAAGCGACTTATAAAATTCTTCTCTTCGGCCGTAATCATCTATGTGGTGATGCAAATTACATGAAATTTTCTGATTTGTTATAACAGTGCATTTCTCAATCTTTTTAAATACAAATGTTTGTCATTCAAATGATTTTGATCTATTAATTGCAACATTCTAAGTACGAAACCATCGCAAATATTAGATAATATATTTTTGTTTCATACATAATTTATTTCTTTTATATTATATATAAATTTTATTATATGTATATATAATATATATTTTATTACATATTTATTTATTCGATATATATATATATATATATATATATATATATATATATATATATTAAATATGTATATTATTTATATATATATATATATATATATATATATATATATATATATATATATATATATATATGTATGTATTATTATATATAAAATATATTCAGAGAAAAATGAAAAGCAAAGTTAATACACAATTAAATTCTTCTAAATTAAATATTGTATTAAATCATATATTTTTTACTTATCCTTTTTTTTTATTACATTTTTACTGCGAATTCTTGATTTCATTAAAAAAGCAAATTAGTTTTAATTTGCAATTGAAGTTACATACGATATCTATAATTTTCTTATATGAATAAATATCTTCATTTTTATAAGATGATTATGATATTTAAATAAATTTTCTAAAAAAGAAAAAAGAGAAATGTTTTATGTAAAATTACAGCAATTCCATATATTAAAAATATGACTTTCTAAAGTCTTACACGATAATAATATTAATCAAAATAAATGAGGAAAATTTCATGTATGTATTACCGTATTATACATACTACATTTGTTTCACCATTATGCATTCATTCAATAATGGATGTTATCAGAAATCCAGTGTCGTTGTGAGATAAAAGAGTGATGACCAATTGTAAAAAATATTGATAAAAAATTGTATAAAACACAGAAAAGGGATAACTGGCATATGTTTCACAAAGTCATCTTAGCAGTGCCATAATGAATGTAAAGTAACAATTAAATGAACAATTTAGATGCCCTTCTTTAGATTGAACGTACATTGTCATTTAACTAGTTACATATTTCATGAAGAAAAACAAATTTTATTGTACATACTTAATATATTTGTAATATGTAATGATATTTCATCTTTTCTCTTTCTCTCTCTCTCTCTCTCTATATATATATATATATACATATATATATATATATATATGTGTATAAAAAATATTTTTTACAGTTTGCGAAAAATTGAAACTATATAATACACATAGATAGACATAGTAGAACAAAAAAATCTTGTAATAAAATGTGTTATATGTTTTTACTTAAAGTAAAAATGAATATTTGAGTGAAAAATTAATCTCCATTTATTTGGCCACATCTTTTTTTTTTTTAAATTTATATTTCGTTCTTTGTGACTTAACAAAATTACAGTTTATTTGAAATGTATATTTTTCCGAATCATAACAATAAGTAAATCTTGTAAAAATATTTTGGATAAAATGGTAAGGACACGCGTTACAGTTATGTGTATCTTTGATGAGAAGATAGATTTTGAATTATAAAAATAAGAAAATGACCTTATAGACAACTTATATTTCATTGAGTAAAACAAAGTGGCAATATATAATTGAGAACAAGATTAGTCGGATAAAAGTAATGTAATTTTATTAATTTTAATAATTAAGTCAATTTTATTAAATTAATTTTTTAGCCAAAATTTAATGGATATATATATTTCACCAGTATACAATTTGTATAATTTTTTTTATAATTTATTCAAAATGTAGTTTTTTATCATCCAGTTCTGTTAAGACACGCGTATTAAATTGAGAAACATTAATAATATTAGTGAAAACAAATTTATTTAAAATATCTTACACATATAAAATGTCTCTTGTAAATATTTTGTTATCTACTTTTTTATTTATCTTTGTTTTTTTAAATCAGAATTTCTATTGTTATGCATATCTACATATATACAAAAAAGCTCATCTTCTTTGAAACATGTAACTATTTAGATAAATATGTGCGTGTCATTTGAAAGAGAAGGCATCTTTTTATATATATTTAGTAAATGATTGAAAGGACGAAAATAATCCTTCGTAACTTCTATTGTAATACTTGGATTAGTCAATTCTTGAAAAAAAAAATTCCTTTTATTTTCTCTTTTCATCTGATATTATATTAGATAAGGAAATATATATATATATATATATATATATATATATATATATATATATATAGATTCTCTTTATAAATTATTAGATTTTTAAAAAAATGTAAATATCTCTAACAAATTTGTACATACATTTTGATACATACGCAATATAAGATTGCTCGATAGATGGATCGCGAAGTTTCATACTTAACTCTTATTATCGTATTCAGAAATGCAGTACATAGTGAAGCCTTTGGAAAGGAAACATAAATAGATACATATATATATCATTCATTGACTTACCTGAACACATTACTTCCACGCCATTATTAGACGTTATATAATAACATTAATAATTATACTTTGTATCACTTTTTTTTACTTGGACTATCTAAGAAAACAAATGTGCTTTTCAATTGATCTTTTTTTTCTATCAATCAAATTTTGGGCGGTCAGACACTTGCGTAGAAACGAGAGAGCGATGCGTAGAAAAAAAAACGAGAGCATAAAATTCTCTTATGTAATCTCTTGTACAAAAATTAGGGTAATTGTCGGAGAAACATCGAACATCACTGTATACGTGTTTAGGCTCTTTTTGAACTGCTCTTCAGATAGTTAAAAAAAAGTGTTTTTTTCCATACGTTGAAAGGATCTATGCGCGTTTGCTCCATACGAGGGCACAGCGCGTCATGCTACACATTTCAAGATACCCCCAAAGTATGTTACAGGATCAGCTGTAGTACGATGCACTATGCCCTTGTATGAAACAAGCGCACGCATTGGTTTTACCTAACGAGTCTACGAGAGTCTGCGACAAGACTGTACTGTGGCGTGGAGCTGAGTGTGTTTATTAGCTTAACTGTTGCGTCCTTCATTAGACACACATGTATATATACATAATATACTTTGCTATGTACATAAATGATATATAGATAGTAAAGCAGAGATACTATATACGCATTGTACCATTATATGATGTATATAGAAAAGTCAGTTGTAATTTTGCATCAATTCTGTAAGAATGTTTGATAAACGCGACAGTATAAAATATTAATATCCCGCAGTATTTTTGTCATTTTACCAAAGGTTTCACATTCTTAGGTTTTTCTTCTTTTTTTTCTTTTTTGTGCAGTTTCATTCTTGCGTCAAATAACTTGTCGCTCGGGTTTCTCGATACCGGTTTCTATAGACTAACAAAGACTACTTCGGAGGTCGAAATTATTCTCCTTTTCTATTATTATACGCAATCGCTTTTATTTCGTATTATATTTTTCCTCGGAAGAATTCGTACGATATACAGTTATATTAGTGGCAGAACATATAACACATTTCTGACACTTGTTCTTTCTTGATAATGATCTCATACTCTTTGCACAAATTATAAGCATAAATTTTCCAAGTAGCCTATACTAAAGTTTCAATAGTATACCATTTATTTTCTATAATATGTTCTTTTTATCAATTTAACGACAATACACAGACTTGCATAATATAATTATTTATATGAGTCAAAATTATATAACAATTTACACTTGAGCACTTTGTTACTTGTAGTATTTTTATTGAGATCATTATACATTCATGACACACGTGGATAGGATTACAAGAATTATACCTTTATTTTTTTAGGGTATTATTAAAAAGCTCTCTTCTTTTCTCTCTCATTTACAACGTCTGAATACCTTGTGAACCTCTGTCCGTTCACAAATAATGAATAATTTATCGTCCTGGAGTTTAAGTTAATCAATTATTTACTCTGTCTAAATTTCCATATAAAAACGAAATGTAAAAATTTCAGTCTAAAATTCCGATATGATAAAACTCGAAACTCAACATTTTCATTTCCATGATATATAAAAATATGAAGGGAAGAAGACGATGTAAATTATAAGGAAATTTTAATGCATTATGTATTTTATATTTCAAATGACAATCGATATTTAAATTTGCACCGAAGACTATTTCTGTTAATGATTATCAAGAAGCTTATTTTTACGCATGCACTATTATTCATAATATAATTATACAAATAGAATTCATCATTGTTAACAAATGCAGCTTTTAGCACAATCTCAATTAAGTTTTTACGAATATATTTTCGCGAATGTTTCATCTCTTTTCTCATTCTACACAGAGAGAATTTTCTCTTAAAATTTATCCTCAAAATTCATGATAATCGTGGGACAATTAGAAAAACTTAAGAGTTTCTCTGATTAATATTTACCACGATAAGATATAAAAAATATAGTAAAAAATTTCAATAATTTTAAAATATATTAAAAACTTGTGATTCTTTAAACGTTTTAAGTAAAATAATGTTAAAAAAGTGATAAACAAAATATTTTTATATAAAATATATAATATTTTCAATCCAGCTCAATCATTCATGATAATTTTAACATGCAATTTTCGGTTTATTACTAAATACGATATTTGTAGTGAATTTTGCGGTGATGAAATATAACGAAAAATTCTCTCTGTGTACTTGCATTCTTTCTCGTAGCACTTGTCAAAAACACGCGCACCGTCGCTTACTAGCTGTCAATTGCCCGATGTGCGTTTCAATCTTAAGCTATCGATTGGCTCGGAAAGCTCCAAAAAAATTATTTTTCAAAAGCAACAATAATCGCTCGCGAGAGACGGAAGAACACACATACTTACTAAGAAAAAAATCGGAGGCGTGAAAAAATCTTGAAACAATGCGGCTTCGCGCGAAGCTTCCACCTTTCTTTCTCCGTAAACGCATCTCTTACAAAGCTCCGGTTTTTTTTTTTTTTTTTTCTTTTAAATTTTCCGGAGCATTCGTGTCGAACCGATAACCCGTTCTATCGTTCTTATTCATTAAATGCGAGCGCACCGATCACAACACAGTGCGGGAATTTATCTCGTCGATTGCGAGAAACAGAATTTCTTATCTGCTTCTCTCTCTCTCTTTCTCTCTCTCTCTCCCCCTCCCTCTCACACATCACTACCGCGGTAAATAAATTCATCGTCGTACAAAATGGCGCTCGTCCAGGCCTGAACGGGTTCGGTCGGGTCGGGAACAACATATAATGGGGAACGCGGAGGAGAGAAAGGCGGAAAAGGCGGCGGCGGCGCTGTTCGAGTCATCGTTGCTCGAGCAACCTGCCTGCGCCGATGTGCATACTCGTTCTCGTTCCAGTGGCGTATGCGCAGAAATTTCGACTCGTCCGCCGCCACCCCGCAAAACGAGTTTTCAGATACGCGCTTCCCCCACGCGCACATCCGTTATCAATACTCCGGCAACTCCTGGAACAATAGAACGAGTGAGACACGAGAAAATGCCGCGCGCCTCTCCCTCTCTCTTTCTCTTGCATTCTTGCATATTATGCACTTTATGTTATAGTTTTTGTAATAATATCAAAAGGGAGGGATATAAATACGAATAGCGAGATTTTTTAAAAAATAATTATCAGCGTTACGTCAATTTGGAAAAAAAGTTTCTTTTGATGAGCAAACGAGTTGTTCCAAAATTGTAAAATTGCACAAACTTGTGTCTCGAAATTTATTTTATATTTATTTTTTTCATTTTTTATTTTATATATTCTTTTACGTATCGATTTTTTTAGCAAAATGTAAAATCGCAAATCGAAATTATTAATAATAAAGAATTTTGTATTTTTATTCAAGTAATATATTAATAAAAATTATATACTTACACGTTTGCAAATAAAATTACTCTGCAACAAAATTATCGCTAATACATTTTTTTTATTTTATATTTTTTATATGCATTTAAATGCATCAAAAGGAACTTTTTTATTGTCAGTTTTTCTACAACATGATGAGATTCGAGATATATATTTTAATTATTTTCTGCTTATTAATACACGTTTGCAAAATATGTAGATACAAAAATTAGCAATCAATATTTATTGAAAATAATATTATGTTAATTATTTAACATCTCGCAAATTATTAAATAAAAAGATGTCAGTGATGTCTGTTGCTCCAAAAATAGATTTATGTATTTAAACATACACGTACATACGAGGGTAATTTCTTATCTTTCTTTTTCTCTTACATACATATTTGATAAAAAAGAAGTTTGCATATGATAATACAGATGATATTGCATGGAAAAGAGATATTCAAATACACATACAATTTTAAATATTGTTCTTTAACATCATTTTTGTGACTAGAGAGATCACTAGATTTATTACATACATATTTAGTATCTTCAAAATATAATTTTTTCTTTCCTTATTAATCTTTGTATTTCTAAATTATATATGAAAAACTGTATAATAATTATAAAATTCAAAGATATTCTCTTTTAAAAATATTTTACTTCTTTAAATTGCGATGTATAATGCCTTAAGGAGACTTGGTATATACTTAAAACTATTTTAACTTAAAGTATTACTTAAAAATAATACTGTATTTCATGATTTGTTGTAGATGGATACTTGGAGTTTATTAGGCAGAACTTCGGGACGAAAACCCATCTTCCTTTGTCGCAACGTAAGGTCCTACCGAAAACACGCTGCGAAATTAGCGAAGGAGAAACAGTTGCTTAACGCCAATCATCCGGAGAGAGTCACTGAGTAAGTAATACCTGATACATATATCAGCCTAAATATTAACTCGATTTTGTTCTCTATTTGATGTAAATTTGTTACAGGCCGATCGACGCTCCCGACATTATCAATTCCGACGAAACGCAATGTAGATTTAATCCCAATAGCTATACCATGTTTTTCATTGTTCACAAGGATAGGCTCCTTTACAAACAGAACTCCATTAGCCGTGCGAGGATGGTATGTTTGCAATTACTGGAACACTGACATTTTTCATTCGTTTATACATATATATTTAAAACGATGTTTATTACGTATCTCAGATTGTATAAATCAAATTTATATAGTAAATAAAACAAATGTTTAACATCTTTTTGTATTCCCAACAGTCTCACGCAGCCGTAACGAAGCGTATGGACTCGAAATTCCATCATTGGCACTCATCGTGGATATCGAAGAATGGCACAGAGACCCAACATCGATTGTGCCAGGATTGGCTGATGGGACGATACGAGAACTTGATTCCTCATAGGACACGAGTTGTAACGGATAACGATCAGACACGTTCCCCGTATCGGCAATACAATCGTTTCAAAGTAGAACGCCTGCAATCTGATCTATTGACGTCGGAACCGTGCGTCTAATCTTACTCGACGGAATTTCTTGCCATCATTTGAAATTTCCCAATATCGCCACACTCGCAACAATTAATCTCGTATCAGCGAAAGTTCTTTTTTTTTTGTTTTTTTTTCTTGCAGCTGCATGCATGCGCGGCGTTTGGATACGATTTTCATTCGAAACGGAAATTCTTAAAATATGATTTTGTTTTAACGCGAGAAAGCTAGCAGATTTTGTACAGACTGCACTCGATATTCGAAGAAATTTTAGATTAGCCGCCGGTTCGGGAATTATTAATTTCAAGAATGTAATTGGTCAATGACCGTCCATATGTTATATATTATATATCGTACTATATATTTTTACACAAAGAAAAAAAGAGGTTTATTCTTCACTGTACAGATACGATGCATATAAAACGACATAATAACATACACTGAGTGATACTATCGCACTGAATTCCCTGCATTAAACAATTTTTGTTGCAATTATTTTTATTACGTTCTACGTGCTTCGCAAGATTAATCAATTTACCGCATTTGTTTGATTAGGCATATGTTTGCATCTATAAATATATAAAAATATGTTTAGAATTATAACGTATACACTTGAAAAATGTACATATATACATTTATACGTGCATTGTGTGTATATATATGTATATATGTGTATGTATACGTATTATACATGCATACAGACACACGTGTATATACAATATAAAACAAGTATAGATTTGTACAAAGGAAACTTTAGAGTTTATGTTCGATTCGTCCTTCAGGCCGCAACGTAGAACCATTAAAGATATAGAAGACGGTAATGTTCCTGGACAGTGCGATAGAGTCGAGTATGCTGAAAAATCAACGTAGCGTGGAAGGCTAAGACCGTGAAAAGTGTCATTGACCTACCACGCGCGATCATACGACAAAAGTCTAATTGTGTTATGTCAGTTTTCTAGTGTATAATGTCACAAATGCAATAAAGTGCGACTTCTCGACAGCACATTATAAGAGCATTATAATAAGGAACAAGAAACGCGCGTGTGTATGTGTGTATAATTCGCAAATATCTTTGTGAGGCATTGCACTTATCAATGGAATGCTGATGCGTTTCTATGAGAAAATAATCGCTATTAAACTTACTCCGCGTAATCTTCACCACGTGTGCTTTTTTCTCATTTTAAATCATAAAACAAACGAAGCTCGTGCGTAATACGCATTTAATGAATGAAATAATCACGCGTTTGTCACGCGATAAACGATCGATCGGTCAATAACGTCGATGGCGGATGCGACACTTCTCGGTCTCGGTCACACTTGTCGACTCTTACGGAGGCTTAATCCGAAATAATGTAAAGTGATATTTGCGCCTGACACGAGCACAAATCACATTTTCTAGCCACACACGCGTCTATATATATATGATAATTACATATATTATAAAGCGGAGTCTCACTCTCCCTGCTTCTACAAATGTGTGTATGTGACCTTTTACTCGATTTTGAAAAAACTTAGATTGAGATAAGAATGAGATAAAATTAGATATTTAATTATAACATAATGTAGTCGTACTATACATTATACATACCGTAATTTGTAATTCTAATACACGATACTGTGGTTGTATATTTATTGAAGCATTTCCTCGTCTGTAAAATAAATAAAAAAGAAGAGAAAGAGAAAGCCACATGAGGGGAAGAGAACAGAGAGAGAGAGAGAGAGAGAGAGAGAGAGAGAGAGAGGAAAAATGAATAAATGTCAAAATATATAATTATCAAATTAACAAGTTGGTAATTTATATTTAGAGGATCAGCTCACAGAATGTGTTATGGTGGCCTTCATTAAAAAAAAAAAATATATATATATGTATATTTTTCACTCTGCGCACTTGAAATGCGTTGTAAATGTCAGCAATGTGCAGCCATTCCATCGCTTATTCCGATTCAACTTGTTAATTTAAATCGATTCATATTTCGCCATTTATTCTCCCTATTCGCTTCTCTTTCCGGTCAATTAAATTTTGAACACCAAACGAAGGAAAGAAAGTGGGATGAGAAACGCGGTCTTCCCGATGTCTGATTATACTTCTGACTATATAATTGTATTTTACGAGAAAATTGCTAATTTTAAAAAGTTAATGTGTATATCAAAAATAAATGTACAGGCAATTTTACTACTCGAGATAATAATTTAATGTTGATATATATTTTGCACACAAATAATTATAAGTATTAATAAAACTATTATAATATTAAGAAGCTATATTCTTGTTATCGGTAATGTTTCCCCCATAGCTTCATATACGTATAATATTTTAGCTTGTACGTTTTCTCCCTTTTATCCCCTTTCTGTGTTTGTGCAAATAACACTTTTCTTAAGATAAGTCGATTCTTCTAGCAGTCTTTTATAGAAATATGTCATAATATCGAGGAGAGAAAAATGTATGAGAAATAATATGAAGAATAGTCGCAGAGTTTTGCAACTTTTGGTTTTATTATATTAAAAGTGATAAAATTAGAGAATAATTATATATCAATTTGAGTTAAATCGATACTTAATCGCGTAATCATAACTTACGTATATTAGGTACATAACAAATGAAATATTATGTATGAGAATATAACGAAATGAGAAAATACTTATTATCCTATATCTTAGTCTAGGCTTGTCTTCTTGAGACATTTTGATACATCTGTGTGTTACAGATTCTGGTTGAATTGAGAAAAAGTACCTCATTTTTCCAGAACGTGTGTATCAGAAATCGAAGACTCTTAAAAGAAAAAAAATACCAAAGTACCGGTATCAGTTTCGTTTACGACAATTAAGTTTTTTTTTTTTACGCTATTAGCCCAAAATATTACAATAGTTTAGTATAGTTGTGATTTAAAAAAAATTACTTTCGACTTAAAATTTATTTTTTAATTACTACTCGCGCGAAGTGAATCGACACACTGCGTTTCAATTTACTTGGTCCGCATTTTCTTTCGCTCTTTACCGAGTTTGTGAAAGATTACGCGATGCTATATAATATATGCGTTCCGTGCACGATCTTGCTTTATTCGCAATTTTGTAGTCGACAACTTTATACCCGTGCGATTAAAGCAAAAGGTCACGGATAAAAACGACTCTTGCGCTCGTATTCATATCGATATACTCGCATGATCGTTAAGTAACGGAATACGCAATTAAAATTCTTTCGTTATAAATAATTATCCATTATATATAAGCGAAAAGGAAGAATCATTTTCTTTTTCTGATTATTTCGTAAACGATCTTCTTCGGTTAAGTACAAATTGTATAATTCGATGAAGAAATGTGTTTCGCGCGTTCTATCAAAAAGGCCTATATATTTCTATATTTAATTACGCACGTCGAATATAATATATAAAGCGTAAAATTAATCTGTAATAAATATTACAGATTGATTTTACGCTTTGCTCCAAGTCATATCGAATATAGACTAACGATTGAAATAAGATCTGGATTGTTGCGAATGATGAGTTTGTGTGATTTTTTTAGTATTCTTTAAAAAAATTGCAGCAACGTTAATTTCACGGTTGTCATAATTTTTTTTTTATATAATATCATAGAGCATTAAAAGATCGTTAGCCTGCATCGATAGATCTGTATAGAATTATTCGATCTAAATCTAGATCCTAATATACAGATAATGGAGATGTAAAATTTCTAAAAGTTTCTTTCGTAGGTCATGGTTTTTATCCGATATATATATATAATTACCGATTACTATCAAGGCCGTCGTTTATCGTTAATTATATAATGAGACACCTAGTGAGGAGAGACAAATCGATGAATGGGTATGAAATTCGAAGTACATCGCGAAGTACAGTGCAAATAAAAAAATAAAAAAAATGATGAAGATTAGAGATAAATGGAGAAACGCGATTCGTTACACGAGACTTTTTATCATTATCGCCTCGCGAATTCATCGGGGAAGCGATAATAAATCGGTAGACGATAAATCGAGCGAGCTTGAAATCTGAAGATTTGTACCGGGAAGACTAAATGTAATGATATATATATATATACTCTGCGTATTAAAAGTCCCTTTTGTTTCATCGATAAGATTATTAGTCCAAATGGGAAATTATACCTATGTAATGCTTGTCGCGCCTGACGGCGGCGCTTCGTTTGTACTCGTAACCCAAAAGTAAGAAACCAACGTCATTTTGAAGTCTACAATATGACATATCCCTATAAGCGCATGATATTTTATTTGATATTTAAGCAATATTCTAGGCGTATTTTTAGAATATTGAATATTCTAAGAATACGCCTAGAATATTAAATAATATCATGCGCTTATAGGGATGCTCACAATCAGTTTGCTACCTGGTAGCAAATTGACGTCATTAAACGTCAAAACAATGCCAGTTCGACTCAATCGATCCTCGCGCGCGTTTAATCTCTAGAGAAGAAGCTGGAGCTGATCGGATGTGGAAGATGCGCGATCGCCTTCGGAAGCGGTAACATTAGCGTGCGGAGGAGCTAATTACATGAGGAAGCCGGCGCGGCGCGATGATGGATGCCCTGAAGCGCGCCGCCGCTTAATCTCAAGTTGGCGTGAGGGTTCGCGACGACGCCCCGTCGGCCTCGTCTCAGTTGACGTCCTCATCGGTCACCGGAAACTCTAAGTCTCCCGCCGTCATGTTCTGGCGGCAGCGGTACACGTACGCACTCGCGGACAGGTCGTCGCCGGAGCGCACGCACTTGTAGTCCTTATTCAGGCACTCGCAGCTGTACAAAATCAAACGGGAGGAATCCCGTCAGAAAAACCGACCAAATCTCGCATTTTTCTCTCTATTCTAAATTATTGAAAAATTCATCGCGATGCGTTTCGGTCTCAAATTTCTAATCTGTTTGGAACATACGTATCATGATTTTCATCTCTTATTTTCAGTCATTTTGAACATTTATGCATTAAAATCGCGTCTTTTAAATTAGAGATTACTTGTCTTATTATACGATTAAATTTACGCGGAAAAAAAATTAGATATTTTCAACATTACCTCATAAATCATTTATTCGAAACAAATAAATATTTATCTGTTTTGAAAAGGATTTTCGCTTATATCAAATAGATATTTTTTATATTCTTAAATAAATGATTTATATAAGGCAGTATTGAAATAAATATTTATTCGAATTCAATCAATTTTTTTTCAGTGTAGTTACACAAATTATGAAATTTCCTCTCATTTATCTAAATTTTATGTTTCCACAACTTTGTTGAAACTTATACCAAAATATTAATAATTGCACATAATACTGCACGACTTATCACTTAAAGCTATCGAAAAAAGTCGTAATAAATTTAACTTTGATTATAGAAATAAAATAAAATTCGGCATTTTCTATTTCGACGTGTCTGACAATGAGAGATGGAATTTTTCACGCCTTTAAAAGACAATTCGATACAAACGTCATTCCATTGCTGAAACGGCCATTTTTTCAAAGCTTGTACATTTCGAAATATATATCTTTAGCACTGTAATAAAATGAGTTGGTTGACTTACGTGTTTTTCATGTAATATTCGACGTTGCGCGTGTACGAGTTGTAGACCGCCCATCCGCAGGGAATGGTGTAACAGTATTTTTTCTCGGTTTCCTTGTTCGTGTCCCGCGGAAGTCTCACATTCCCTTTTTCAATATAGTATCTCCAAGGAAAAGTGAAATTCTGAAGTCTAAGCTTCAAATCCTCTATCTCTTTGTCCGACATCTGTAATTAAAATGTACATGTCGCTCGAGACTCTTTCTTTTTATATTTTTTATAGTTTTATATTTAACGTACAAATATGTTTCTAGTCCCCTTATTTATAGTAATCCTTACATAAAAGCCACGAAACGCTCATTTTTCATCGAACGTTGTTTTTGAACCTTTGAAAGCAAAGATGGTCGAAATATGCAGATTGTCTGTTCTTTTTTTGTTCACGCGAATAAGGAAGCAACAAACGAGGTAGTTATTACCAGACAGACCTTAGATACTCTTTTCTCCCAATAAAAAAAAAATTCAAAGATATGTTTACATATTTTGTACTAAGTAAGAGAGTTTTTACACAAAATCTCAAAAGTGATAAAAAGATGTTCAAAATATTTTTCTTTCTTATCTAATTACTTACTCAATATTTATCAGCTTTATATATAGAATATTACACTTTGTAAAGTTAAGATAATATACAATATATCAGTTTTACATATGTATATACATATATAGAATACTTTGTAGAGTTAACACTTCATTGAAATAAAATGATATTAAATACCGCGTGCGCAATTATATAGGCCACGATTAATTTTACAAGTAATTATTATAAAAAGCTTCAATTTGTCCTTATATCGATCAATTCGGGTTAAAAGCGCCGAATTTTTTTTTACATTTTGGGCACGAATCAGAATCTGAACCAGGAAGAGAAAAGAAGATGTATATGTCATTAATGTTTTAGCCTGGAAAGTACTTAATTGATGCAAATTCTCATGAATGAAGAAGGAGAGAATCTGCGAAACTCGCGACGATTCGATAGTCCTTCCTAAAATCTCTCCTTCGCGCTATTTCGAGTCGGAGCTTATAAACTGAATATACGGTGGGAAAAAATTCTCACACAAATATGTTTACGCACACGCGTCGCGACTTGAAGCGAGTCGAATATTTTTTTTTTTTTTTTACAAAAGAGATATCTCTGAGAGAGAAGAACGCGTCTCGATTCACTCGCGCAGCTGCAAAGAGCAATATGTAACACTTTGGTAAATAAGCTATACTCGAGCAAATTCGCGTGAACGGAAAGTATCAATTATATATATTCTCTAAAATTAAGTGACTCTTTTACTATTTTTTTTTTCAATTACTTAATTCCGATCTATAAAAATATCGGTAATATTAAAAAATATGTATATATAAATATTTCGAAAAATTTGAATTTTATCGAATGACGAACAATGAGCAATTTTGACACAAATGGAAAAAACGCCACGATTATCCGGTTCATTCGACAGGTGTAAACATCCTCTCGAGCGAGGTTCGATTCATGAATGAAGCTACTCGAGTCGCCGCGACGTTTCGATAAATGACCGGGAGACCTCGTACTCTTGAATGTACGTCATTTACGTCATTTTATAATTATAATAAGCGTCTAATAAACATTCTATATTTTTGTCTCTCGAGCAAGTATATTATAATATATTGTAGAGAAAAATTTTTTTAAATATATCACACTCGAATTAAAAATATTTTGCTATATATAAATTAGAGGTAACTCTTCCTTCGGATGGAGAAATTTTAATCCCGTTGTTGTCCAATCGTAGCAATTTTAAATCGATTCGGTTTACTCGATAGGCGATAAGCGCGAAATCTCTGACGGGGAATAGAGTGAAAAAAAAATCGTAATCTATTCATATTGATTACTTCGTGTCGCGATTTATATATACATGCATCATCCGTAATCTGCATATATGAGCAAGAAGGAAAAAATTCTGCGTATCTGTTTCGCGAAGCACGTGGTCTCTCATATGCAGGGGGAATTTTTTCTCAGAATTTACTCTGAAAATCATGGTAATCGAAGAATTTTGCAACAGTTTCTCCGATGAAAATATATATATATATATATATTATTTCCTATCGTATTGCGATAGATGTTAATATTTTTTTATTGCAATAAATATTTAATCAGAGAAACTCTTATAAAATGATTTTCAGGGTAAATTCTAAGAGAAAATTCTGTCCGCGTAAAACGATTTCTAAAACGAATCATCTCTCTCTCTCTTCCTCCCTTTTCTGTCTACATAATTCGATTCGCTCGACTTTTTCCCTACTACTTGGACGGAATATGTGTCTTACCTTGTGATGGACCGCCGCCGAGTCAGTGACACTTGTGTGGCACAAGAAAATCACGAACGTGACGAGGAAGATTAGTCTCACGTCGCTCTTACGCGGGTTCCACATTTTCATTCGCGCGCTGTGAAAATCAATCGGTTTTTTCCCCGAGAAACTGTCTCCTCTCTCGAAACTTCCCTCGGGCTACTTCCTTCTTCGGGATCCTCTTCCGGCGCACAGGATCTACAAAGGATCTCGAATAAAGCGCGGCGCGGCTTGGCGCGAAAAGGAGCAAAAGCACTGACTGAAGTTCTCGAGGGGTTGATCGTTCGCCGGGTTTTTCGCAGAGACACCCGATAAGATACGGATGCGTTTCCTTTACTCGAAATGTATTACCATAATACACACGAGCGTTCGATTTTCTCTTTCAATGACCGAGTTTATATTGCGCGTGTTATTCTGTATGCGTCCCCCCCACGAGACTTTATACATAGACTGTCTTCTCGTATAGAGTGAGGACGCTTTCGAGTCGTCGGGGGTTTATATAGTCTGGGCTAAGCTGCTGCCGAGTATCGCTCGCCGACTGAAGGGTGGAGAGGGGGGGAAAGAAAGATTTAGGCAGGGAAACAAGGAGAGAGAAAGAGAGTGTGTGAGAAACCGAGGAAGAGAGGAGGGGAGTTTACTTAGACATTAATGTTAATATAATGTTAATATGAGAATAAGCATAAAAACAAAGACGGCTCTTAACTGCGCTGATCTCTCCCGTTCGTTGATTCTTCCGATTTAATGAGATCGATAGATCTCGTGGGTGCACGTGCGCGAAGCACGTGTCTCAATGGAAAACAAGATGTTTCCTTTCGAACCAGACCGAACTAGACAACCTTCTCGATCGATTTCTTTATGCATTCGAGATTACGAGGTGAAATAATTTTTTTTATTTCTCTATCTCTCTCTCTCTTTTCTTCTTCACACACTGACGAATTATGAAAATTCTTTACACCGCAAATTTTGAAGGTTTCGGAATTGTTTAATGTGCACTTTTGATATAGACTGCGTCTAATTTAATGCACGCCACGCAAAATAAGTAATTGACAAGTTGATTTTGATACCGTGTTAAACTCACAACTCGGTCATTTATGATATCCAGCAGAAGAGTTTCAGTTGTGGCTTTGTTACAATATCTCTTTCGTTTTTTTTCCAATTGTTGTTTGTCGATTAAGTTCATATGTAATTGTGTGTTGCGTGAAAAAAGTTGGAACTAGATTAATTTACCAGAGAGAAAAAGAAAGGCAAATAGAAAAAAACTGAAGATTCGAATCGATAGAAAAGTAGGGTCGCTTCTAACGATAAGATGCCTGATCTTTACCCAAATCTGATGCAACATTAGTCTGATGCAATATTAGTTGGAGAAAGCTGCCCCACACATACACTTACACTTACACTTAGCCCAATCTATGAACAGATCGGAATCCCTCATAGAAATTTATCACTAGTATAACGCCAATTTATCACTTATTTCGAGCACTTAATCATTTATTTCGAATACTTCAATTACTGTGTATCAGTATTTTAAGTGGTCGAAATAAGTGATTAATTAGCGTTAACTAGTGATACATTTCTACAAGGGATCTCTAATGAACAATACGCGATATATTTTTTATTTTGTTGATGTTAACAAAGTTGAGATAGCTTTTGTGCTTGCGGTAAATTTCCGGTATAACAACTATATCAAATAAATGTAGGAGCGATTCACCCCTTTACACCTTTACTAAGGAATATTTCAAGAATAACATTTTTAACGAATGTCTCCCCGCATTTTCTGGAAAATCGGAAATTTGACAAAAAACCTGGCATCGTACATTTTATTTTTCCATCTTAAATATTACATGAAATAGGCGCAAATTAAAATTTTGTCAGGAAATTTCGTTCAAAATTAATGCAAGAAAATGTATTGTATTGTGATCTACAAATTTAAAATTCTTCAAAACTGGGCCGATAATTTAATTCTAAACAGAACAAATTCGTTCGGGGAAAAAAGCATTTCCTCATCGACATTGAAGCAATCGTCGTTATTAAGATATTTTCAGTAGTAATGAACTTAACCCCCAGCTTCTGTCAAAGCACAAACAAATTTCTTCTCATCGTTCACAATTTTCCCCATTCTTTTAATTCATCCAATCTATGAACGTATATAGTATTCGTCATCGGGTCATGCTCTCGAACGTGCCGCGTGCGATCTGGAACGTAGCATCCATCGGCGAGATCCTCGACGCTTCGTCGAGAAAAAGAGAGAGAGAGGGATTGTCGTTTATGAAAAAAAGACTTCCCGCGCAGGCATCTACTACTACTACGGAATGTTTCGTGTCAACGCGACGTGACTCCGTGACACGTGACACACAGTTCCTCATCGGCTACAAATACATGTATACACGAGTCTCTCCCTCGAGAGAGAGAGAGAGAGAGAACGCAGAGGCTCGACGGGGGCCCGTCGACCTCTCGGCCAATCGCGAGGGCCCGTGCCGCTTACGTCGGGCTTGTTTCATATATGCCGACAATGTACCACGATACATCTCTGTCCCGTTCTCACTCTCATTAATCGTGTAAATGATTTTTTATTTTCTTGCCAGTTCGATTTTTTAATACCGTCTCACCCCTACGCTGGGATTTGTTCGCGCCCCCCAGGGGGCCTCCTATTATTTTTTTGTAAAAGTATAGAAATAATTGAAAAATAGGCTGTTAAAATTCTTGCACCCCTTCGTATATTCGCGTACTTCCTCGTATATAACGCCGCTGGCGATCGACCACAATGTGATATGATATGAGGATGATGAAACGAATTCAACAACGATGCCAAAAGTTTGGTCACCGCCCGACTTGGACGTGAAAATCTTTCTTGGCGTCTAAATAATAAAATGACGCTCGTTGTAAGCTACGTGGGGGTCCGTAGGATTTTTTTCACAGGAGGGGGCATAATTATTTTTTTTATTTCCCTCAATTTTTCAATTTAATTTTCTTTGTATTAAATATACGTAAATAAATTCCGCATTGTAAGCTACGTGGGGGTCCGTAGGATTTTTATCAAAAGGGGGTATAATTATTTTTTTTTTTTAATTTTTCAATTTAATTTTTTTTGTATTAAATATTAATATACGTAAATAAATTTCGCATTGTAAGCTACGTGGGGGTCCGTAAGATTTTTATCAGGAGGGGGTATAATTATTTTTTTTATTTTCCTTAATTTTTTAATTTAATTTTTTTTTGTATTAAATATTAATATACGTAAATAAATTCCGCATTGTAAGCTACGTGGGGGTCCGTAGGATTTTTATCAGGAGGGGGTATAATAATTTTTTTTTATTTTCCTTAATTTTTCAATTTAATTTTTTTTTGTATTAAATATTAATATACGTAAATAAATTCCGCATTGTAAGCTACGTGGGGGTCCGTAAGATTTTTATCAGGAGGGGGTATAATTATTTTTTTTATTTTCTTAATTTTTCAATTTAATTTTTTTTTGTATTAAATATACGTAAATAAATTCCGCAGTGTGCTTAATTAGTTTACCGATTCTAAGAGGGGGGCCAAATGCCTCCTCGTGATAAGATAGATTATTTAGGGGGCCCTTTCTGAAGTCCGAGTCGAGTTTTCATGAGGTGCTCATAGAGATAGAGGAATGACGCAACACTTTCTCGGAAAGCGGATGAATGAAAGTGGCACAAGGGGGCGAGAGGGGGTGAGAAGGGGGAGAGAGAGGTAACGTGGGGCACAGAAAGAAACATTCCTCCGTCAACATTCTTGCGGGAAGGAAAAAGGCCCGGTGGGGAGGAAAGTAGCGAGCAGAGGGTGTGGGAAGAAGAAGTCGCTTGTGACCGCCCTCGAGATCCGGATTGCGTCATTTCGCTCTTCCGGAGAGGGATAATAAATAATACGGAGGAACTACGCAGTTGGTCGGCTCCCCCTCCTCTCCTCCCCGTTCTCCTCCCTTTTTTTGTATATGAATTTACTCTTTCACGGTTGACGTACGCTCGCGATAAAGAGAAACATATGTATGTTCCGCTGTCCTAGAAATGGAAATTTTTCAAGAGGAAGAAGGGGAGAAACGTCAAACCCTGTAACGTTATATTACGTCCGTCCCGGACGAAAACGACGACGCAATAATATTATGTGGATAAAGTTCACTTTTGCCTTCTCTATTGCGAGATGTACTTCGTTCCTCACGAATTTTTCATAAAGTCGAATTGAAAAACTGTACAAAATTATTATATATAAAATATAAATGATCTCTCCTCCCTTCATCCCTCTCCCTCTCCCGGTGATTCGGCTTACAACGTAAAACCAGGGTTGGATAATAGTTGTAATTAATTAGTTAAAAGTTTAAAAAAATTAAAAAGTTGAAAACTTATAACTTAGCTTAATTAATTTAAAATGTATTCATTTTTACCTTCAACTATATAGTTATTTTTTATCTTAAACTTATTAACTCTTTTCCCCAAGTTAAATTTTTTTATCTCTGAATACCATTATTGTTTTTTTTATAAGTTACGAACGTATTACTTTCAAATTAAAGTATTATGAATTTTTATGTTCATTTGTCATCAATTGTAATTACCAAAAAATATATTTCTATATAAAAATCCAAATTTCTTTGTTATTATAAATTTGAAAAGAATTAACAAACAAAATTCAAATTTAATATAAATAATGTTTTTCAAAAAATTAACTTTTTTTTTATTTCAACTTTTACCTCAACTAAATTAATTTTCTAAGCAACTAACTTAACTTTGTTCAAAAAAATCATTAATGTGCCCAACCCTGCGTAAAACTAAGCACGATATAATTCGATCACGCGGCATAGCGCGTGAACATTCCGATCCTCGACGTATAAAGGCAGTTATAATGTGATGTTCCGAGAAATAAATCCAGTCAACAATCGTTAAACAGTCCAGTCAACCTCACGACGTAATAAGTATATGTTCGACCGTGATTTGTTTACCATTATCGCTCTTTCACGAACGCCGCATCGGGACGTATAATCAGGAGTCCTTTTGGAATTCCGATCTTTCGAATTAGAGTGTCATCATCATCTCCTTGAGATTACGAGAGACATTCATTCGCTTGATCGCGTGTCTTCCTCGAAAGTGGCGTCCCTTCTAAGAAGATGTCCATCGCGTAATTACTCACATATTCGTCCGGATGATTGATCGCTGCATAATACCAGATTGCGGCGTCATATCAATTATCCGTCGATGTGTGCGATATATATATATATATATATATATACGACGTATATATGAAAGCGAATATAAACGCTATATATATATATATATATAAATATATATTAATATATATATATATATAATATATACTCGATATGCCCCGATCAGCTGTTTTTGAAAAATCTCGCTCTTCGCGCGCAACTTTGCGCGTTCTTTAAAATTCTCTATCTCGCGAATGTCATTATATTTCCGGCAATCGGATCGGAGAATTTAACCGAAAGAATTGTTATTATTATTAGGATTCACAGAATGT